TATTTTAAATTGATTAAGATGAATGTGCGGGCAATTATGCTCGCGCGTGGATTGCTGGCACCTGCGGTTTAATTCATTTCAATTTACATATTTTTGAAATGTGTGTGTGTGTGTGTTTGTATATATGTATGCAGTTAAATGTGTGCACATTTATAACCGCAGATTTTTCAGTGCTTAATTTATTTTTATGCAGTTAAAAGTTAAAGGCGCAACAGGGTAGCTTACAATGATTGTCTGAAATCATTCCTAATGAATAAAATGACCACTCATTTAATTTTTTTATATGCAGAAGGTTTTTTTTTAGGTTAAAGGGCTTCGAGAATTCTGAATTACATCCAACAGCACATCAACTTTAGCATAGATTTTATTATACATTTATTATTTTATTAATAATAAAATTTCGAAAATTATTTGCATATTTATTTTATTAAAAGATAGCATCACATTATTTAATTGCCTTTACTAAATGTGGGCAATTCTTTCTCAAACAGAACGCCCTCGTCACCTTCGATTTTGCTAAAATATTTCTTTCATAAAATGCTATTAATTACTTAGTTGACCATTACAGACGTGAGTTGTCCTTGGCCGCATCCAGTAACTTTCGCCAAACAATTCGATCAGTGGCTTGTTTTCGCCAATTGGTTTTACCTAGCGCCAACAAATCCATGGTCCCCTGGTCCTTCCACCGAAGATGTAAATGTCCTATACCGCCTTTAATACCAGCGGGTACCGAAATAAACACCTTTCTTGTAGGTGCGCTTTCATCCATTCGCACAATATGACCAAGCGCTTAACTATGTCGGTTAATACAGCTCATCGTTCCATCTAATTCAAAAGTCGTTGCTAGAGAAACATTTATCTCAAACGCTACTAATGCCTTCTCATCACTATAGGTAATTGTCTAAGCTTTTGTAACATACAAGGTAGAATACTCGGTTAACATAATAAAAACGCTTTTTTTTTTGGAAAATTTAATTTTATACTTTAATATACTCCCCTTTTAGCTTAGCACATAGAGTTCAACGATCTTTCAAAATTTAAATACCTTTCAAATAATACGATTTGTCAAGTTCTTCAAAATATACCTCAATTTCCCATTCCACTTCATCATTTCATGCAAATCCCTTTTAAGTTTGAGAACAGATAATAGTCACTGGGAGCCTAATCTTGAAACTACGGTAGGTGAGAAAGCAATTCCTACCATAATTCATTTAATTATTTTAATTGACGTGTGAACGGTTGCGTTATTCTGCAAAAGCAAAAGTTTTTTCTTGAACAAATGTGGTCGTTTCTTTTTGATTTCCTCATTCAATTGATCAAATAATATGCAATAGTAGTCTGATGTTATTGTTTTTCCTTTTCTCTTCTACCAAATAGTCTATAAAAATTATTCCAGTTAAGTTCCAAAATACGGAAGTCAAATCTTTTCCAGTCGATTGTTGAGTTCGTAGTCGTTTGCCAGCACTACACCCGAGCTCTACTCATTCTCTGGCTCTACTCATCTATATTTCATCAATTGTCATTACTCGACTCTACTCGCTCACAGTTAGCTAGATAGTGCATAAACATTTTCAAACAATGTTTTGTATGACGAAGTTGTTGTCGTTTTTGGTCTTTGTGATCTCTTTTGGACGATCCGAACGCTCTTTATCAAAAACACTCATACGTTCATGTTTAAAATCAACTTTCCAAAATTTTATTGTTGTTAACGATGGTGCAAGGTTGCCCTAAACAGAATCTATTTCCAATTTGATTGCATCATTGTTCAATCCTTTTAAATAGAGAAATTTTATTACTGAACGATATTCAATTTTTCCATTTTAAAAAAACTTACCAGTGAAATAAATACACTATCTCAATTATTTGCAAAAACCTAACCAATTATTTTTACATTATCATTTTCTAATGGAGATAACACGAAGTACAGAAATGTTTTGACTAAGTAAATAATAAACTTATATTAAGATGTTGTCATAAATTAAAATAATATAACTTAAATCTTTGTTGTACATAAATTATTTCTTATTTCGAAATCCATATCAAACAGGAATTAACTACGCATATACTTCAAATTCAATTCATTACAAATTAATTGCTTAAAATATGATAATATTATCTACCTTCAATTCACTTTTGAATACATTGTAGAATTTATACAAAATAACTATCGACTATTTACTACCTTTTAGAAGTATTTTTTCACAACCCGCCAAACCAAGTATTTTTAAATATTCTTATACTGTCACTGCATGCTTTCATTGTTCTTTCCCATTTTCCCATTGGAAGTTCTAAACACGCCTTCCAATATTCGTGTCATTTATTTAGGCATATGTGTAACGTTTCCTGTCCGCTCTAAATGTTGATTTTTTATATATCATATAATTGTTTCACATTTACTTAGTTGATAATACTAAGTGGTTATACTCCATTTTTCCTGTTATCTTTCTTTCAAATACTGTTAACAGGTTCACTTCTGTTTTTAATAATCTTCAGACTTTACTCTCATAAGTTACTATTATCCGTATTATTGTTTTATGTGCATTATCTTAATTCATCTTAATATATTTTAGATGACACAAGCTTTTTCTCGCTGTAGTCGGTCTTATTTCCACCACGTATTCTGTCTTGAATATTCACCACCGTTGCGTTGTTCTCCTTGAAAACTACTACTAACTATGGGTAGTTATTGAAACCTTTGTACTTTTCAGTTTTTTTCCATTTTTTATTATTTCAATTGATATTTTATTTGACGATATGACGATACGCCCGCTTTACGTATTCATCAAGATAAACCTGGTTATATCTTGTAAAATCTATTCATACACCAATCATAAGCTCTTTTTCATATTCAATATAAACTTTCGAATATTTGTCTAAAATCAATGAAGGAACAATATGTTCGATATATATTTTCGCCACCTGTGATTGCATGAATATCTGGTCGTATTTTATCTTTTTTGAAATCTACTTTATTATTCTGTTAATACTTTTTACACTGTGTTTCATTTAATTGTTAATAATTAATGTTAACATCTTATATATATTGAGAAAAAGTGTAATTGTTTTTTATAGTTTTCACAGTTCATTTTATTTCCTCTCTTGTATACTGGGGAAAATATCTCCATCTTCCTTTATTAAATTGGCATTTATGTTTCAATACTCAATTTGCATATTATATTATATATTAATTATTAACTATTATTATATATTTGAATAGTTTTTTATTCATGTCGTTAACATGAATATTTATTTTTTTTTTTATTTTTTTAATTTAAGTTTTAAGTGGCATTGACCGCGTATCACTAATTGACGATAATGACCGATTTTTCATAACTAGAATTTCCCCCAAATACACTTCATCATTATCTACATACTTCTTATTTAATGTGCAGTTTAGAAGAGATTCTCTAAGTAATATTTCCAAATATTCATATTATTAGATTTCTCTGACACAATGACATTATCTTTAGGTGAATTGGTTATGCTTTTATAAAAGGATTTGATTCCATTATTACTTTCTTCTGCCTTTGATGAACACTAACGTCACAAAACGTTCGATTGCAATAGTCATCGAGTGTTATACTTTATTTGCATATTATATGAAATTCTAATCAAGACCCATAGTACTTCAATAAAAAATGTTGGATCGCGAATGGCACGGTATACATATTTACAACAAAAAATACGAAACGACTTACTTTCACAAAGTTTTTCTCGTCTCATATCCCGAAGAGTTTCACCAGGAATCTAGTGGAGTTTGCTTGTGAAACTTGAAACTCCGAATATAATCGTAAGTGCCACTTGCTCATTCACTATTAGTGGTTGCAGTACGTACATTGTTTTCGGTGCTGAATTAATTTATTGGAATGCTTTACAATAGCATTAAAAGAAAACATATCATATATATATGAACTAAGAATGCAAATAATTATTGAACCAACTTTAATATAACAAATTAATTAAACTAGAATATAATTTAAGGGATTTTTAAATGTCATGGGATATTACTCTCAATTTTATTTATTTTGATTTAATATATTTTAAATGTAATATAGAAATTATTTTAAGTTTATTAAAAACTCCAAACATGGACAGTTCAAATATTTGTTAAAGAATTTAATTTTTTTACGCTAAATTTTTTTAAACATTCTGAATGTATAAGTCAATATAATTTTTACGTCTCCAACTTTAGATAACGATATGGACTCTATATCGACATATCTTTTGATGTTTCTCTGAACACATGTCTGAACTGTCACGTATTGATTTGCAATATCACATTGAGTTTTTCGCTTTAAAATTAAGCGATTTTTCATTGCAACTGAAAACAACCAATCTTTCTCATAATTTGAGATACAACGATGGTTTCCATTTAATTTATATTGAACTTCTCTCATCAGGTGAAAATTTTTGGTAGATTGGAGGAATTTTCTAGTTTTCCTGTTTACTCTATCTGTAATTCGAAGTTTCTCTTAGAATAATACTGACACCAGAATTAAATTATAATCAAAAAGATAAAATTCAATCATTTTGCATTAGTAAAAATTTGCGCTAAACGAATAACACAGATGAAAATGTTTACCAAACATTCTATGTGTAATAAAATCTTTATATCTGAGTTTTTTCTGGGAATTAAACTAAATTATTACTAGTCAAGATTAAAAGTTATGTAGTTTTTTAATTCAATGAAGTATATTCTATATGTTTGTAACAGTAACTTATTGATTTATATATGGTATTGTACTAAACCACATTAAAATGGGGTATATATAATATTGTACTACTAGATGAAAAATTAAAATGAGAACTTTTAAGAAACCGCTCAGACCCTGAAAGTGTTCGGCCCACTTTCGACGCCTAAAGCTTTTAACTTAAGTTAGTCTTATTTGGGGCCGAGAACCTACTTAATATAAATATATTATGTAATATAAATATAAAGTATATTAATTAAGTTAACAAAACTGAAATAAATAAAACAAACATGTGCTTGATTTTTGCAGTATCACATTGTCCACCATTTCCGCCACAATACGCTCCGCCATCTTTAATAAGATTTCCTACACCACATGTGACTCAAACACAATCTAAGCCACCTCCTCTCAATTATTCTCCAATTTCATCAATGATTCCACCACTTTGTGGACTGAAATCGTTACAAATGAATCAGTATTCAACATCGCACTTTCGACAAACATCACCACATCGTTATAGTATAGCGAAGTCAAGTAATTCCTTAGACATTCCTACGGCCACTGCTTTAAATTTAGCTAGCCATCATCATCAACATTTACAACAACAACAGCAACATCAAAATTCGCAACTCCCACAACAAATCCATTTAACAAGTACAGCCAGTGGTACTGGCGCTGGATCGACTGGAAATTCTTCCATGCCCTGTAATCCCAACAGCAACAATAATTTGGATAACGCAAATAATGGAAAACGTAAGCGATCGTGGTCTCGAGCTGTATTCAGTAATTTGCAGCGCAAAGGCTTAGAAATACAGTTTCAACAGCAGAAATATATTACCAAACCAGATCGTCGTAAATTAGCAGCACGTCTAAACCTCACAGATGCGCAGGTTAAATAGTTAAAAGTATTTCATTCTTTATACTAACATTTTCCTTTTTTAGGTAAAAGTTTGGTTTCAAAATCGTCGTATGAAGTGGCGTCATACTCGCGAAAACCTTAAAAGCGGACAGGAGAAACAAATTCCAACAGAGTCCGCTCAGGCTACGTGCAGTAAATCTGCTAAAGGAACAAATGACACAGTTAAGCACAGCCAAGAAGAGATGGACTATCTGACAGATGCTTCATCTAGCATGGATGTGAGTGAACCTGAACAAGAAGATGATATTGAAATTGATGTTGTGGAGTAAGAGGAGTCTGGTAAAACAGTTCCTATTCTACAAGGATTCTGAAAGAATTGCGGATTTCAAACAGAGTATAGGTTAATTTGAATGGTAGTTAAATTAGTTATTTTTCAAAACTCAAAGTATTGATAGATGAAACATAAAACATATTGTGAGTTCTATTCTATAAAGAAAGTCTAACTGTTATTAATAGATTTCGATCCTAAACCAAAAATTGTTTATCAAAATACATGTGTTAATATATGGTATACCATATGTACATATACAATTATATATTTATAAAAAATACTTGATTATACATAAAAAAATTACATTCATAAAATTTCTGAAAATTTTTAATTTTCAGCTGACGATTGAAATGGAGGCCTATTTATTTTATTAAAATAATTCAGTTAATAATATTGTTTTTATGGATCAATAGTTAAATAAATTAAATAGATTAATCAAATAAACATGTGATTTTTGTGTTTGATATAAGTTTATGTAAGCTTTTATTAGAAGTAATGGAACATTTCCTTGTTAGGTTCCACTAGAACTATTCTCGGTATAAAAAATTTATCAAATAAAATGACAAAAAATAAAGTTTTTTAAAACATATTTCTTTACATCTATTCTAACACCTTACAGAACATTGATCTCTCAAGTTCAACTTTCTAATCGCCCAAAAAATCTAATCTAATAAGTATCTTCAAAATTAAAATATTTTCTAGAAAAAGTCTAAGGTAGGTTATGTTTAATAATGTCAAACTTTCGTTTATAGAAACGTCAGATGACACCTGACAACAATCAGTGTCGCCAAGACTCAAATCGTAAATAGTGACTTCCGTATGAAGAACTTATCTAACTTTTAATTTCCAGTTAACGGGTTAGATAGTCGGCATACCTTTATCAAGGTACACCTACCTTATACCTCTATGATTAGAAATGATCGCTGTTACACTTTTTTGAACGCAAGGTCATTCAGGACTATATTGTTAATAATCGCAAGGTTAAATTACAAACACATCTCCAATTTCTTCGTTTAAGTTATTTCCATTGATGAGTATCTTTTGTGACTTGCCCGGCGATACCGGCTATACAGCCCCATCTCGACTTTCATCACTCTGACAACATTTATCCTGATTTGATTTTAGCTAAGGAATCTTTCTCAAAACCCTATTATACCTTTACGAAATGTTATCGACTCCTTATGTCATCTTATAGAGGTTAGTTACTCTTAGTGGCGTCGGAGCCTCTTCTTCTATTCACAAAACAATTCATGGGCATTGTTTTGTTACTAGAATTCCTTTGGCCAATGCGCTGTAATGCAATATTAGTCTCTTCGGCAAAAATAGAGTATTAAACAAATACACTCAATGATGGAGTGGTAAATACATCGAAACGTTGGGTACAATGTTTTTTTTTAATTATAAAACTTTTAAATAAAAAATAAAAACAAACATCTAGTTACCTTTTTTTTATTTTTAATATATATTTTCTATTTCTTACAAATCACACAAATATACATTTTAAATTTTTCTCTATATTTGTTCGAATAATTAAGTTATAACTTGATTTAAAATAGATTTTTAGCATCGAATTGTTGGCCTCGAATGACCAATTTGACATTACATTATAAGTAATATCCGAGAGTCAATGGTAGTTCGTGTTGTAGTTATCTCTGATTCGAGGTAAGGTTATAAGGACCACTATTTATTTGATAAACGTTGACAACCCAAGTATTGTTAGGTACTGATATTCCCTTCGGATGTTGACGTCATTAATCACTGTCTTATTAAATTGGTTTTATCATTTGAGCCCGATTTATATTGCTTACAATAACTTGGATGTTATATACTCGTTTTAGCAAAAAAATACAAACTTGTATGACTAGGTTGTTTCCTACAATTAATTATAGATTTCAAGAATGATTAACCAGACATAAATGCATCCATAAACTTATTTACTCTTTTAGAAAATGAAACCCCGTCTTTTCTAAGTGTGAAATGCTGTTATAGCAGGATCGATTGCTGACGTAAATCGATGAAGGACAAATTACGTCAAAGCTACACAATATCAGTTATACTAGAAAACATAAATGCTGTAGAAATTATAATGCTGATATAACCATATAAGATTGAGTCAATCTTAGACATTAGCTGCACCATCGTACATCAAAACATATATATGTGATAATTAATTGGACTCGTTAAAGCTCATAAAATTTAAGAGTAAAAGCTCAGTACGGTGCTAATGTTGAGAAAGAAATGTTCAGAAAAGACAATTGCCATGGTTTTAAAGCGTGCATCCAAGAGTGCGATACTTGTGGCATCTAAGGTTGGGCCATATCTTATAATGGGTTTTGCTTTGTAACCACGTAAGATAACTTTATACTTTTTATAGGTGTTTCAAAATGAATACGAGCTTGTTTTTGGTCACGTCGGTCACAAAAAGAAGTAAATAATTTCTTCTTTTCTAGAAAAAAGTTGTTATACACCAAGAACATTATTAAAGCAACACAATGATAATGCGGTCAATGCTTAGTAGTACATTATACCATATCGTGTCTAATATGTAACTTTTTGAGCATCGAAAACATCGATTTAATGGATGATCCGCCATTTATAGTTTGATTTTACTGGTAATGACTTCGTCTTGCTCCAACATGTCGGCGGAATAAAATTTTTGATGACTACAATAAATATGTTTTTGTTTTGAAGGCATCTTGAACGGAATGGAAAAAAGCTATGATGAGTGATTCGAATGTATGCAAAAGAAAAAAGATCGCAAAGAAGAATATTTTTCTGAAATAAAATTAAATTAGTGACAAATTACTGTTTTTTAATGATTAGACTCACGAAATTAATAGTGGCAGTAGTACATATGGTTTCTACACGCGACATCAGAAATAAATATTCAATTTATAATTTATTAATTGGAACCACCACTTGAGTCATATTTTTAAGTTGTAGTTAGCTCACGTAAAGTCACGAACAATTGGTTCTACTTCCTCAACATACATATTGAATTTGCATTTGCTTTGTGGAAGAACCACCGGAGACCCAATAAAGTCTGTTTTTCCAATCAGTTCAGGAAAGTAAATTGAATCAGATCTGCTTCTTTGTGTGTGCGACAATGGCAATCTATTTGTTTAAATATTTAAATATATGAGATATAGAAATAAAAACTTTTAAATAAAAACTTGTAAAACAAAATAAAAAAAATTTTAAACTAGCGAAATTGGTCGACTTTGTCCTTTAGCTACTACAGCATTCGAAAAATAGATATAAGTTTTCTCTATTGCTAGAATTGAATATAAAACTTAATTTCGCAATAATCTTGATACTTCGGACATATAATCGAGAGAATTGCATTAGTCCCTATAGAAAATAACGAATATTGCTATGCTGAAAAATTGCTATGTTGGTGTTTTATTCTTGTTTATTTAAAATAGGTCTTTCCGAGTTAATACAGTGCTAGATATAAAAAAGATTTTGTTCAAATTGGGGGAAACTCCGCTTATCATATCAGTTATATATATAAATCACACGTATTCAAATTAATTAAATACGCTGAATAATCAATAAAAATGATGTCTTTTTTTATTTAAATCTTTAAATGATTAAATTAAATGATTCATGTGTCATAATAGCTTTATGAGAAGATGCATTATCTTCCAACAAAAACGAACTACTTGACTCCAGGTAGTCTATCCAGATCAATCTTTCATCTGATGGGATGACTTTATTATGTGTAATTATCTTTAACTCAAAGAAAACGTTCAACATTATATTTATTTTACTCCTTTGAAATTTTAATTTTCTCTTGTATCACTAATGACTCTTCGGCTGGTATTGAAAATACTAAGTTTTATCAATAGTTGAAATAGCTGATACTCTTGAAGAATTTCTCCAATCTTTTTGATCATCTGTCCGTGTATGTGACACAAAACGTAGGCAAATTTTTTGTTTGTCCAAATCTTAGCTCTGCATTTGACAAACTCTACTTTATGATGTCTCAGTATTTTCTTCGACTAGATACACAGCGGTTCTGTAAAAGAATTTGTTTGACATTGTCGATATTTTGGTCATTAATAGGGTATTACACATGATTCCTGGCGCGATGTCTTGCAGCGACATCGCTTGCTATTACATTTCTTCAGTTTCGTACATCAAATCGGGTTAGTGTTCCCTCAACTTGATCACTCTACCGGACACAAGGTCTATCTCTACACCTTCTTTCTCCAACAAACTACTTAAAACACTCTTTTTACTGGAGTATCTTCATGCATTCTCACGAAATGAATAGAACCCGCTGGATATTAATTCGTTGAATTATATCAATGTCGCGATTAAGGTCGTACGATAGTCGTTGCCAACTCATAGAGGACCAAAGATCTTCATCAATCATCAAACAATATTTCTCCAGAATGTTCACGATATTTGCAAATAAGAACTACTTTGTTTATCTAGCCAAACTACTTTTTCTCTGCTTTCCAAGTTGTGCTAATAAATCGTGCCAATTTGATATATTTCAGATAGGTTTTTGAAGACTTTACGTAGATGTATATATGTTATATTACATTTATACACATAGGATAAGTTTTTTAAGACATTATATATTACATTTATACACATATATTACATTTGTACACATATATGTATGTGTTCATTATATCAGGTCTGTTCTTCTTTTGATTATTAACCCATATTCGCCTAACGTTCGATTAATCGAACAGCAAATTTTATAACTTTTCTTGGATTTTTTGTTTATATTAGAAAAACTTTAGAGTTTATATTTATTTATATATTATATCATTTCTTTAAATGTATGAAGCTTTAGCTTTACAAAAACATTTGTGACTTCACTTCACACCCCCCACTTCCTTACTAATTAAAACATTTTGATCAAGAATTCCAAAAAAAAATCCTTGGGCGGATATGGATATATAAGATCCATTAGTATATCCATTGTAGAATTTTAAGTTTTCACTTTTAGATATGTGGAATATAGATGAACTGTTTAATTTACTAAAGATGGTCTCTTTGCAAGTTGACAAATTATTTATTTTTAGTAGGTATGTCAACTGTTATTATTTCATTTCTGGACAGATCATGTCTATATGTTTGCCATTGGGCATGGAACCTATTTCCGCTAAGTTAATGACCAGCTCACTCTGAAGATTCACCTGATACTCTCGTCTCAAAATGATTATGTGTGAAAAGCAATTAAAAAAGTATTACAAAAAAAAAAAGAAGAAAAACAAAATTAATTTAATGAAAATAAATAAATAAATGAATAAATAAAAATAATTATAGTTACAGTGAGTGCCACTGTTTGTGATATCGGAATTCAACATTGTACTCAGTGTGGCTTAATTAAGGAAATTCCGCTGCGATCAGCGAAATACGATATATGACTGGACAGAAGCGTAGAAAACGAAAAACCTTCTAATCTGTGATAAAAAACAATAACAAAATATGAAAACAAATTCAACTGACAACATAAAAAACCGACAAAAATATAATAAAGAATAAAAATCACACATAAAACACAGTAGAGTCGAATGTTGACACGACAGAGGACGGACGACAGACGACAGACAACAGACAATAGAGTAGGAAAATCACAAAAACTTACGCGGCTGCGGTAAGTTGTGCGGGCTGATCTACGGCAGTGACATTCAGTCAATGCCGAGTTTGTGCAGCGTGAAGTGCTCAATTTATGTATAAATAATTATTAAATTTTATTTAAAAAAATTCGCTTAAAATTGTTAAAATAGTTTAAAGAAATTAATTCTTTTTAAAAATTGACTGGAATTCTAAGAAGCTCAAAAATGGGCAACGTACAGACCAGGCAATTCGATGCCAGAGGCATGGCACATCGCCGAGGCAGTGAGTTGACACAATCCAAAAAAAAAATTTAATCTTTTATTCATTTCATATTTTAAAATAAATAATTTTAATAAATATTTAAAAAAAAAAAAAAAAAATTAAATAATTAATATGGCCTATGTTAAAAGGTATATCATGGAATTTTCGTTATCCAACCTCGAGACGCAAAGATCATCCCACTATGATGGTTTACAATTCGAAGCTAAGCATTGCCAATTGGTTGGATCTCTTGGACTTGCAACAATACGAAAGTATTAAAATTACTCAGTGCATAATTAAATTAATATTAAATTTTTAATATATTTCAATGACATATAGCAAATTTACAAATGTATAATCGAGTGGAAGATATATCAGAATTGAACGATAATGATCTCAAAAGATTAGGCATTCGTAGTGCTTCACATCGAAATAAGATGCTATCAAGTTTAGTTGGAGTTTTACAAGCTAAACGGAGACAATCGATGAACATTGAAGGTAAGTTAAGGAAATAATAATTTATTAATTTGTAATTTATTATTTATTAAATATAAATAACTAATTATTCTTAAATTAACTACAAACCTAATATGTTTATTAATAATTAAATATTTGATAGATATAGTCAAGCAATGAATTATATATATTGAACTGGCATATATTTAACTGGTCTTATTAACTCATAACTCAAAGTTGAACTAAAATAACACACTCATTTATATGAAGTTGAACTGTATATAATTTTTTCAGTCACGTGCATGATCAGTTTACCGATCAAAAAGTCTTCCCATATATCTTAGTTTTACAAATCTTAATTACTGACTTACCTGGTCTAACTAACTCACGCAAGGTTGGTTTAACTTAACACACTTATTAAGGTGACGTTGAACTGCATACGATTTTTTCAGTCATGCGCGTGATTAGTTCACCGGCCACAGAGTCTTCACATATATCTTAGTCTTCTTACTGCTACTTTAAATATCTTTTTCATTAGAGCACTTTCAATTACTTAACTGAATGACAGAAAAATTTACAAACCAATTCATACAAAAGCTTAAATTTTTTGAGATCAGTTATAGATCTGATCGATCCTAGCAATACTGGATATAAGTCCCTCAATGCTATTAGTTTTTAATCCACAGACTCAGAATAAATTGGTTTTTATTTAATTTTAAAAAAATTTGTGCTCAACATCAGCGACAGAGTCCTACCCATCTCAACCAGCAGCTTCTAAATACTATACACTCTTTAAATACTATACTAATCAGATCTTATTGAGGTTATAGTGATATTTTTATTTATACGTTGACTGATATCACTTCTCCAAATCTTCATTTGAATTTTTCAAATATCTATTTTTTAAAATATACATCTTATAAAACCTACTATCCATAATTAGTCAGGAATAAACTAGGGTTAAAATATTGATCCGTACCGTAGGTTAGGTTAGGTTAGGTTACTGGGGCCGTCCGAAGACTCACTTAGACCATGAGGTCCATTGTGATACCCTAAGAATTTGACACCTGTCCCTATAACCACTTGGTATTGGCTACAAAGCCATTGACACGAGCTATGGAAATAGAATCTAGCTCTCTTAATGAATAGAAAAAGTGCGACCCTAAGTAGGATAGTCTATGTCTTGCGAAGGCAGGACACTGTAGCAGAAGGTGTGTTGGTGATTCCTCTTCATCATCCTCCATGCAATGTCTACAATGTAAGGAGGTCCTGATGTTGAGCCTCACGGCATGTCCTCCCAACGGGCAGTGTCCCGTAATAATTCCCACTATCCTGGATAAATTTGCTCGGGATAGATTGATTAATTCCCCCGATCTTTTCTTACTTATTTTTGGCCAAAATTCCTTGGTTTTTATGCAGTTGGTTACTGTTGACCATCTTCTTTCAAACATTTGGTATGTCCATAATTTTATTCGGTGCCGACAAGAAGCAACTGGTATACCCACACTTCTTTTTCCAGAAGAATTTGTGCTGTCGTACCATGTCTTGCTAATTCATCTGCTATACAGTTACCTTGGATGTTCCTATGTCCAGGGACCCAAATAATTCGTATCCGAAAATATTCAGCCATCACCATAAGTGATGTAAGACAATTCAGTACTAACCTCGAGTTGAAGGTCGACGAGTTTAAGGATTTTATAGCTGCCTGGCTGTCAGTAAATATGTTTATAAATTTAACGGAGGAGACATTGTGTTTCAGCCAATCCGTACCGTAATTAATTAGCGATATTTTGTTCTATAAGTCACTATAAATATACTTAATATGATGTCCCTAGATAATAAGTATAAGGACTCAGAAGCCTTTGAATAGTTTTCTACTCGTAATCCAATATTCACAGAAGATTTAATTACTACCTTTTTTTTCATTTTCCTCTTGAATTTATCTATTCGAAATTTGTCTCTTTGCTGACAATTAAATAATTTAGAGAGTCAATTTCTTTGTAATTGTTGAAAAATGGGTAAAATATTATTATTGCATTTTTAATAATGAAGCCTATTGATTATTGTTGTGAACATTACTAATGTCACAGTTTTGATAATATAATCAGACACATATGTTATTTAAGGCATTTAATAACCAACATGTGTTTTTTATAAACATCTATTTTATAAGTCCGTATTACGAATAAATTCTTATTAAATTTGATTAGTAAGAATTACTAGTGGGTAAGTTTTAGTGGCGACTGAGCTTTCTCTTCTGTCCGGTGTTTTGTTAAGACAACTGAATATAAAATTCGAAGTATTAAAGCCAAACTACAAACTTAATAAATAAGATTATTTTTGAGAGTGTTATATTTGGGACATTCACCAAAATGATTATATCATAGGCTTCCACAGTCGAATATCTTAATATTACCAGGATTATGCATATACATAGAAAATGCTTAGCGGTTTATTGATTACTTTCCTTCTAACTAGCTTTTACGTTTCTACATTTAAAGGTTAGGTTAGGTTAGGTTATTAGAGCCGTCCAAAGAGGTACTTAGACCATTAGGTTTATTATGGTACCCTTAAGAATTTGACACCTGTCACTATAACCATTCAATACTGACCACAAGGCCATTGACACGAGCTAAGGAAATAGAATTAAGCTCTCTTACTGAATATTAAAAAAACGACCCTAAGTACGAGAGTCCATATCTTGTGAAAACAGGATACTGTAACAGAAGGTGTATAGGTGATTCTTTTTCGTTATTCTCTATGCAATATCTAAAGTGCAAGGAGGTCCTGATATTGAGCCTCACAGCACGTCCTCCCAACGGGCAGTGTCCTCTAATAAATCCCACTATCTTAGATAAATTTGCTCAGAATAGATTGATTAATTAATATCCCCTTAATTAATTAAGGGGATATTTAATTTTTATAAGAATAAGTCCCTACTATTCAATGTGTTATCAATATCTCACGTCCAGGAGTTTTCGTACCTTTGATTCTACCTCCACTTTATAGCATTTTCGTTGTCTATAAGTTGTAACTTGTCAATGTTAGTTTAACATGTATCTGTTATTATTAGAAAACAGTTTTTATCACGTTTTTAACTACATTTTAATGAAATTAGTGTTTATTTCTAAGCGGAGAATAGCTCTACAGTGCGCTAGCCAAATCATTTATTTTGCTGAGACTTCAGACTTTTTAATATTGTTACAGTCAGTGTTTTTTTTAAATATACTTTTGTTTTTTTAATTTTTAAAAGTTACTTAATTTAATTTAAAAGAAACTACTAACTCTTTATATTGCTCTTTTTTATTAGTATCAACTTTACCACGTACAACAACGAAGCGAAAAAATTCATGCCCACCAATGTATCTTTCTGACGTCGATAATTTTAAAGAGACAGGATATTCTCAAGGAAGTTGTGCAAGTTCCCGAAGTTCTCTAAAATCTGTGAAAAGTGGAGCAGAACTAAAACGCATAACTTGGAATGATAACAACGAAATGTAAGTGCATTGTATAAAAACCAAATAACGAAATTATGAAATGAAAAACCATCCCAACCCAACCTATCTATTAGTGTCGCTGACCTGTACGTTTTGATCAAATGTATTCATTAACACATATTCTCGAAGGTAAGGTTCCTTTAACAACAATTCCTTTCAAAGTAATCTCTAATATTATATTATATCTAATATTATATTTTTTTCTAAAAGAGCCGTTTATCCTGAGCTTTAAATCAGGCACTTTTTATGATATCTTTTCATTGCGCAAATAAACTTTCCTTTCCAGAGGTATGGATCTACAAGCATGTCCTAATCAAAGAATACGGAATAAGTTCTAAATATAGTTTAAGCAATTTGAAAAGTATTACCGACCACAAGATGCGCTTCTCAAAATATAAATTTCTAAACATTTCTAGCCAATTTTTTTGTATTCGGCTGTTTTGATAAACTTCTCCTGGTTTCTATTGTCTCTATTGTATCGTGCTAAAGCTTTGTTTCATTAATGACTACATATTGCGTAGAAACTTTTATTTAAGTTCTATTAAATATTTCTTTATATCAAAAGAACGAAAATAAATAAATTAAAGATCAAAAAAGATTTAAAACTTTAAATTCAAATCATTAAAATTTTTTACTTTCCCGACATTCTTATCCACCTTCAATATCTCTTGATAGATCATAAATAGTTATTTATGTATATGTCAGTTTCGAAAAACTTCTCTCCCATGATGGAACAGATTCACAATTCATGAGCACGAATTAAACGTCTTGCGAGAGTGTTCAAAGATAGCTTAGGAAGATCTATTTAGCTAAGCAGTTCAATATAGTTAAATAGAGGTTTTTAGACTAAATACCAATATCCAGTACACGGTTTTGTGGAGACAAATAAGAGTTACATTTATTTGCCTTCTAAACTTTGTTATTTGTTTAAAAATTTCTTTTACCAGATTAATCACAGTTCATTATAGAAGAGAATTATATCAATAGCTTTTAATCTCTTCGCGATAACAGGCTCTTGGGTTGATCAGCACCAAATATGTTATTACTTTTTTAATCACTTTTTTATTATGATTTTTATTAATATAAAATTAGAGTTTTGGTATGAAAATAGTAAATATACTCTAACATCTCTTTACTGTTTCTGTTTTGAAGACTTATTCTTACATCTTTAAATTATTCCGTATTATTCTTCCTCTAAATTTTATTCTTCTGTTTACTGAAATTTTATATTAAACTGATTTTAAAAGTACCTGTTTATTTGCAAGGTCCAATAAGTATCAAGCCTTTTTGTGCAGAAATAATCATAAGGAATTAGACTTATAAAGAAAGTCACCGCGTTCTTAATAATTAACCCTTTAGTTTACAAATACTGCTATGCTAGAATAACATCTTAAAAAGCATAAGAATCTTTTTTCCATTACTCTAGTGTTCAAAGAGTCGACGAATCATTGATTGAACAGGAGAGAGAGTATGTTAAAAAATGTGAATCTACAAAAATAGATGCATTGAAGATATTTTAAATGAATTATTTTAATCTATGACCTACTGTGAGAGAGTGTTCAATCGTACTCTACACTGAAAGTATATAATCTTCTTTTTCTTAATTCCTTTATCTTCTTGTGGAGCATAGGACGTCAGTTATATATTTCCATCTCGTCCGATTGCTTGCGATAGATTTTATTACATTTCACGATTTCCCCGTTGCTAAAATCGATTCACTTGCGAGCCATGTTTCGCAACCGAGCACTGGAGCACTGGAATAATCTTCGTTTTTAAAATTCTGAGTTTTGGTGTATATTGTTAATATCGTTGAGCATCAAACTTTTCTTAATTGAGTGTATGTGCTTTTTGCTTTATTTACAAAATATGGTTTATATTATTTATTTAAATATTTCATGAAATTTAAATTGAACTAAAATGTATCTTTTACGTATAGGAGACCACTATCTTAGATGCTTTGTAAACTTCTATGAACTATGGTTCCCTGTCCTTGTTATTCATGAATTCTTTTTAACTATGCTGAGTATTTTGATTACGAGATCTGATTTGAATGAACAGTATCTACTATGGACTATGGCACTCTGTCCTGTTATTTCTGAATTATTCTTAATCATGCTAAGTATTTTGATTATGAGATCTGATTTGAATGAACAGTACCTACAGAAGGCTGTCATTTTGACTCATACCCATAGAGCTGTAACACTGATTTGACCCTAAGACGATTTTATTATGAACTCAAGTTAAAGTTGCATATTTCATTTATGTCACTCAGTTGATATGATATATCCTGTCTATAGATTTCTTGAGAATTCTGTACCAAGTTTTTTTAGTTAATCTTGAAGGTGGACCAAAATTAAAAGGAATAAGTGCGTTCACATCAAGTAGTCTGAGGAGTATGTTTAAAAACTTTAATCAAAAGAAAATTGTTCGTAGTGAACATACCTTAAATGTGTGGAATTATAAATCCAACAAAACAAAAATAGAGAAATTGCGCATGACTGGAAAAATTTCCCCCATTCAAACAGGATAATACAGGGCCAAAATATATTCTTTATAATAAATATATATGTATACATATATATGTATATATAAGAATGTAGTCGTATATTAAGAAAAACAATGAAGGAAATAAATGAAAAGAAAAAATAGAATCCAATAAAGAAAACACAAAAGAGTAACTGATATCGTGGATAGAGGGTTGAATATGCAGCAGTGCATGCGGTAAATGACAGCAGGATTCCATTCCGCTCATAAGGACGGACCGTGAAATGCGCTCACCAATATTAGGGGAGTGTGTCGCGCTAAAAATTTCAGCAACTGCAGACGGAAAATGCATGCTGCCGTGAGCATTTCATGTTAGGCGCGTTATTATAGACGTTAACGTTACGTTTTGAAACCGTACGAACTGTTCACGTTGACAAGAGAGAGCGGAGTGACAGGCAAAATTTTGTTTTTCACTTTCTTTTGGGCTGGGCAGGACTGGGCTAGTCCGTGCGTTTATCAAGCAGCAAATAATTATTTTGATATATTTTGATATAAAAGTCAAATTGCATTAAAATCAAGTTAAAATGTGTTCTTAATAAAAAACAAATAAAATAAAATAAATTGAGAATTCAATGTTATAAAATTAATACCTAAGGTGTGTACTTTAACATAAGTTTGCAAAATATAAGAGACAAAATCGTTTTTGATTTTTTATTGTATCTTCAAAATTGTTGAGTTAACAATTGAAATAAAAAATTATTAATAAAAGAAACAAAAAGTTATATTTAAAAACGCATTAATTTATTTAAAACAAAACAGTTATTGACACCACAACGTGAGACAAGGGGTTGAATCCTAAGTAAATGAGATTAAAGTGATACCCAAGTGATATTTGATTGTTGTTTATATATATAAAATTTAATAGAAGTTATTTAATTCTAAAGTAATAATAATATAATAATTCTAAAATAAAATAATTAATTTCATCGTTTAACCTGTATTTCTATTAGATATGAAATATTAAGACCAGCCTCAAGTATTTCAAGAAGAACATCAACTGCCAGTAGTGCTGCCAATCTAAACAAAATCAACGAAAACCTCAATTTAAATAGTTGTAACATCAATTGCAATATGGATAGTAATACTGGATCTACTACGGAACCAACAAGCCTTACCACCACTAACGAACAGCAAGAAGCTATAGCACTTAAGAAAGCCTTAGAGTGGGAACTCAGTTTAGATTCAAGAGACTTAAAATCGCATGCCTGGTATCATGGACCGTTACCACGACAGCGTGCCGAAGAGATAGTACAATCTGAAGGAGATTTTCTTATAAGAGATTGTGCGTCTCAACCTGATAATTATGTGTTAACATGCCGCACAAAAACTTCCGTACTACATTTTGTTATAAATAAGGTAAGCACAATTGATTATATCTATTAATTAAATATATGTATTATGTATTAATTAAATTTTAATTAACAAGAAAATTTCATTAGGAAAAGTGTGCTTTCAGTATTATTAATATCGTATATTCTCTTAGGTATTTCAGAATATCATCTTGAGATTTGCAAAGTGCTAAAATATTAATTTTCAAATATAAATTAACAAACCTTACACAATTTTATTTATTGTTTTTGAAACATTAATTTTTAAACCTAACTCCATAATTTTTCTAGATCTTTGTAATTCAGAGAACAACGCGTTGAGAAAAATAATTAATAATTATATATTTTATTAATTTTATTTTTTTCCCGCATCACAAAAATCACACAAAAGGTTAAAGTTAAGTGAACATTAGTCATCCTAATAAGTACAAAACTTGTGAATTATTCACTTAATTATACCCAGATTTTTTAATTTTTAACACCCTACGAACATAGACCATACAGGCGATAAACATATTGTAGTATATTGTTATGATGTTTGAAATGGAACGAAGGAAACTTTAAACACAACAGTATTTTCACGAATTTTTGACTATTATCTGCAGTTCAGTCTTTCGAAATGCATTTGGGTTATAGTGCACAGCTGCAATAGCCTGCTTTTTTTTTACCAGGTGCTATAGTGTTACCTGTCATAAGTCGCTCTAGATTATGATTGTAGTATCTGTGATTAATATATTCCTTTTTCCAACATATGACTTAATTCCCTTTCATCAGTGGCAATAGCTAGCAGTATATTATATATATTGATATTCAGATATTCAGATGTCTGAGTTGGTGAATCAGCACCTTTACTCTATTTTATCTGTGGACAGTTTTAAGTCACACTAAATACGGGGCTTTACGGGGCTTTATAATATGATGGACCTGATGTCTTTGTATCTGCCTGTGTTTATCAAATTTCGCTGTATTTTTAGGATACTGAGAGTTGGATTATTGTGACTGTCAATTGTATTGAATAGTTTCAGAGCACGATCTTTAATGTATTTTTCAACTGAATCCACTCTCAGATCTCTGTGGATATCAGCTCCTCTTACATACCATGGGGCGTTGACCAGTTTTCTTAAGGCAATATTTTGCCCTCTTTGAAGAATTTTTAAAGTTGAGCTTGGCGCTTGGCATTTTGTTAATTCTAGTTAGGAGTTTCTAACATAGCAATCTTAAACTCTATATTCTATGAGTATTGAAACCAACTTTACAACATCATCATATAAAATTAATCCATTAAAACATGTAATTGTATCCAACTTCAAGTTTATATCATAGGCATCATAGGCATAGGTAATGCAACCTAATAAGATCTTATGTTGAAAGTAAGCCCCTATGCTTTGTTCATTAAGCCTAATAGTTTTCCCACGACTAGACAGTAAAAACGACATTCTATCATTACAGAGAATGAATTATCTTTTATAACTTACTGATGACACAGATATCCTGTGTGCCGTCATTAATTGCATTTAAGGACACTCGTATGGTATCACTAGGCTAAAAAATAGCGCAGATACCAAGAAAATGCGTTGAAAAGGTGGAGGTCTGGACACAGATCGAAAATCACAAAAATATGGCTTTAAATGCCAACATAAAAGAAACATATTCGTAGTAATGCGAAATTGGTTCCCTTTGGGGAATAAGTCTTGCTGAAGAGAGGGTGTTATACTCCGTTTACTACATATTAATGTTATGGAGTCGGGCACACCATTCCGATGACGGTCGGTTTGATGGTGCATAAAACATTCCACGTCCTCAACACAAAAAGAAAAAAAAATATCGTATCAGTGCTGTGTATGAGTGGTATCGGTCATTTCTATGTAACCCATTTTGTTTTAAAATTTGGATTATGATTAATTTTTTTTTATTGTTCAAAAAATATATAATTTTTAATAGAAGAAGTGTATTTCTATATTGATTATAATGTCCCAATCTTTATATGGATTAAAATATTGTTATTTTAAAAGACACCAAAATTGAACAGTAGACATTTGTATTCGAGAACAAAAGTTGAAATATATTTCGTTTAGATATTTTTTATTTCATATAGAATCACCTCGACATCCAATTCAAGGGTCAGAGTAAGATTGACAATCCAAATAAATGTAACTCTCAGTTGATAGTAGCAAGCAAATAGAATAGATAATTTGTAGAAAACTATCAAAACGAGGACACTTTGGATATTTCATATATAACATCATTATATAGTTTGAAGAGTCGTCTTCTAAAATTGTTTTGAATATATTTTTCTCCTGACTTAAAGACGTTGGGTTTATGTGAAACTTGCTTCACAGCCCCGCCACCTTCTTTCTTTTAACTATGAAAGTGGAGACTGAACAATCTTGGGGTTGTTATATAGCATTCAATTAACTCTTTTGTCAATTCTAATTTTTATGTAGTCAAGACAGAATATATATATATTCACTTAAAATACAAATTTTTTTTTGTGACTTTAAATAGAGCATAATATTCTAATTCTGCATACTAAATTTCAGATCCTTTTGCAACCAGAAACAGTTTATGAACGTGTACAATTTCAATTTGAGGAAGATGCATTCGATGCTGTTCCTGACCTCATCACGTTTTATGTTGGTTCTGGTAGGTAGAGTTAAATTTCATTTTTATATCTATATGGTATTTCTTATAAATATAGTGTTTTCATTATAAATTTTTAGGTAAGCCCATTTCGGCAGCATCAGGTGCACGTATACAATTTCCATGTAATCGTACATATCCGCTCTCATTTTATGGCCACAAAATAGTTGGAAACCAATTGCACACACAAATGTTAGCAGGCATTCGGGGGACAAGTCCACTAAACTCACCACTTAGCAATAACAGTAGCTTCCGGTTTGGTACAACAGCCGTACAACAAATGCAACAACAGCAGGGACAACAGCACCAACAAACTAATAGTCCAATGTCTTCGCCTCCACGCGTTAAACGTGATATACCACCGCGCTTACCCTCGAAGAAGCAACGTTCACAAAGTCTCACACCGGCTCAAGCCATGGTTGTGTCGAATATGAAGCATTGTGATAGTGGTGATGAGAGCAATAATGGTGATGCCATAATAAATGGTAATAGTGTTAGCTTTAAAGGCGTACGCCGTTTTAGTAACTTCGAGAAGTGTAACAGTCTTGGTGGGTCACCAAGTGAACAACAATTGCAAACCGCACATTTAGAACATATAATGTCACACAATAAAATTCACAGTAATGGCTTCCAAACTATAGCACGTTGTTCGGCAAGTGAGATAGTGGACCATGTTAAGTTCACCACTCATTCACTGCCACGACCTGCGACAAACTCTTTTCGTACGAATACGACACGCATATCTGGTTTAGCACGTGACTTTAGCACTGAGTCTAGTTCCAGTTTAAACACCAGCTTAGACGGTAAACAAATTCCAGAGTTACCAGAAAAAGCACCAAGTCCGCCTCCAAAACCAAATCGTGTACCGCCGACTTTGCCACGCAAAGAAAAAGATATAATAACACTGGAACAACAACAAAATTCTTTGCATCGAGCAGCTGCAGCAGCAGCTGCCGCTGCTGTTTACCAGGCAAGCGGTTCAGATTCAGGCAACGGCTCAGGGGATTCAGTACAAAGTTCGATACCGGGTGATATGAGCGAATTTACGTTACACCGTGGAGTTATTATTAAAAATCCACGCTTTATGAGTAACTCTGCGTCTTCTGCAACACTAAAAAGTCTAACCGAATTCGACGCTGCTGCGGCGGAAGATCAATTATTTACTTTGGAAATACCCAAATTTAAGCCTGTAAGTTATATATGCGATTTAGGTCAATTAATATAAAATATGTAAAAAGATATCGTAAACAAAGTAATGAAATGTAATTGATGTCGAAAATTATTTTTACAGGTTTCGAAATTTGATATTGAAAATTTCAGCACATTGCTGCTACCATCTGTGGACAATAAGCCATTAGATGGAGATGCGTTAAGCACATTCAAAATGATGCTATTAGAGACTGGCCCCAAAATGATAGCAGAACACATAACACGCATTGACATAAGTTTGCTACTCGAAGAGCTGCCTGAAGAGGATGAGAATTACGAGCATAATGTATTAGATTGCTGTGGTCTAGAAATGCTAACTCTACCACAGGGTAAGGTCTTCCGACACGACCTCATTGAGCGTACACAATGTATTAAGCTAATGGTAGCTGTAACAATACTTACATGTCAAACTGATTTGGATCGTGCTGAAATATTAAGTAAGTGGATACAAATTGCTGTTGAAACAAAAACAGCCCTAGGTAACCTATTCGGATTTTGTGCCATAATGTTAGGATTGTGCATGCAACAGGTAAGTTGTTTTCCTTCAAGCTATTAGTGGTCTTTAATGTTTATGATAAATATTAAAAATTTATGAAGATACAAAAACTGGATCAAGCATGGCATATTTTACGTCAAAAGTACACAGATAGTGCATTTACATTCGAGGCGAAACTGCGACCAACTTTAATAAGCATGAATGAATGTTCTAACCCACAAGCACCAAATACCACCGTTCCACACGTACTTCTCTATGCTTTACTCAAAGATCGGCAAGTAATCGATATACTAAATATTAATAGCACGATTGAGAGGTCGTCTTTGTACATGACCTGCATTACATCTTGGGAGAATAAAGCTGATGATTTTGGCATGTCTATTAATTTTCTTCATTTGGATTCAGCTCGAAATTTTTTAGCGAACCTGACACTCTTTCGAAAAAATGCTAAAATTGTACTAGAGGAATCCAATTCACGTTTGGATGAACTACTTAGTGATGCGTTTAGGTAAGTATTGATGACGAATAGTGTAAATATATATTGAATATTTCTTAATAATTGCCGTACGTTGACTAAATTAAGACTATAACAATTAGTGCTAGTACCCATTATTATTATTAAAACTTTTGTCGTAAAGTTTCCCTACAATCGGTACTACGGCCAGAAGAGTTCTATTGTACCAAATTCACATTTAATTGTACAAAATCCTTTTAAACTTTGTGAACAAAGTCCAGAACTAAATTTGGAGAAGAGCTCTTAATCTGTTCTGGTGACAGAATTTCCATATGAAATAAGTTTCTTCTGTGCGTTGTCAAAGCTTGACAATTACGAAGAATGTATATTCTTCGTATACATTCCTCATCTACGAGCCATTCTACATTCCGAATTAGCAGATAATCGAAGTGCAAACTCTTTTAAGTGATGACTCATCGATAGCCAGTTTTTGTATTTTATAGAAGAAAGTTCGACTAAAAGTGGTATTTTGTAAAAATCAGTCATCTTAAAGAAATACCCATTCAAGAGATGTATAGGTTGAGAGAATATTCATCACATATATACGACTTTAATTTTGAATACTTTTTGTTTACAGATATTACATTGCTTTTTTTATAGAAAACATGCTCCTATATTCCAAACTCAATAGGCATATTTGTCTTATTTATCATATAAATCTCACCCACATATGTATATGTTTTTGATATTTCTCATGTTTACTATAGCCACCTGTAAAATTACAAAAGCTCATTAATATGATCAATTTTGAAATAAGCAAATATATAAATATGCAGAATAATGAAGCAGGATAATTTTCCAAAGTTTAATAGGTGTAAAACGAAGCATTACATTAAAAATTACAGGACACTACCAAACAATATAACTACACTGCATATTCGTCTTAATACTTAGACAGAATGGAATCGACATGAATGAAACATGTGAAAAGGGTGCGGTAAATTTACTCATATGATCCAAATCATTCAGTAGACAAATTACTTGTGAGACTATATCCGTACTTAAAAATATTTAATATAAATTCTTTGATAAGGCATAAGTGAGAATTTCAAATACCTGAAGTAATTCAAGAACCCAATTACCGACAATATCAAAATAATGTAAATGTTTCTCAATATAAAGAGATCAAGTTTCTTAAACGGAAATTTTCTTGTTGACTATAGTCTTTCGAGAATGGGGCTAATGGACATCAACACCTATAGAATATATGAAAGAAATAGGTCCAGAATCTTCCTTTTGTCTGAGATTTTAAAGCAAGAAATATTATTAGCTTTGTCAAACAACTTAAATTGTGTAACCCTTTTTAGGTCTATATAGATTTTTTAAACCACAAAAACCTATTTTCTCTACTAATAATAATATATTACTGTTTAAAATTAGTGCACACTTTGTTCCTTATGTATACATACATACCATACCTAGTTAAAGTTCCAGACTTGTAATAAATCATTGCAATGGTTTATACACTCTTTGACATGTGATTAATAAAAATAAAAAAAATACAATATATATGCACTGATATTGCCTTTTAAATAATATTGTTTCAATTGTTTTTTTTTTAGAACCGAGTTCCACGTCAAATTCCTTTGGGGTAGCAAAGGGGCTTTAGCGGCGTCAGAAGACCGTCACTCCAAACTAGAAAAGGTGCTATCATTAATGGCTGATAAGTTCTGTAACGTCGATGGTAATACAGCAGCAGCATAAACATCCTTCAGTTATGTAAATAGAAAAAATTAATTCCATTTTTATATATGCAAAAAAGAAACCAAATCCATTAGTAATATTACGCATTAAGAAAGATCTACAATATAAATAACTACAATAAATCAAGTATAAATTTATACATGATATGAATTTATATATATAGTATATACATATACAGCAAAAATCAAAAGATCTATTAAGGACCCAGTATGATTTTGTAAACTATTTTTATTTAATTTTTAATTTGAAGATATTTTGTTATACACATATAAATATATATTGTACTTATATAAAAACTATTCAACCAAAAAAATACATAGGATCTTAAGTTTGTTCGCTAGTTTATCAAACACACCTATTTATAAATAATTAATGAGTTATTTAATATATTAAAGTAAATACATATGATATACATATATATTTATATTACATACATTACGATTATATTATATCTACAACTGTATACGATGCAGTAAATAAGTTAGCATTATTTTAGTTTTATTATTCTGTCTCCAGAGCAGAACGTGATTGAAATTATACGTATAAACTAATATGTAGTCTCTTCAGTTCGATTAAAACTATTTTATTTATATCTTATTTATTAAGTATAATTTATTTTGTCTTCAATTTTGTTTAAGTTTATAAATATGACATTGTCTAAATGTATATTGTCTATATATTATTAAATTATCCATTGCTTTACAGGACACCAAAGAAAATTTTATAATATTATCTAATGTTCTTGCAAAGCTATTCTATCTGTCAAATAAATAATTACCACTGTAAATGTAGTTTCAGTTTAGTTTATTTTAATCTGATATGGTTGTTTAAAGCCCAACCATTAAAAATCAAATATATCCAGAGGTTACTTGGTGACTGCTTAATGACTTTTTGTTCCTTTTAAAGTACAAAAATGTTAGCTTTATGAAGAGGCAGGTAATTTGGTAATTATTAATAATTAATAAATATCGCTAAATAATAATTTTGTTTGAAAATCGGAGAGTGAAAAGAGAGAGATTAAGAAACAATAATAGAAAAAGAGATAATGTGTTAACAAAAGTGCGACGTAAAAGTACCCCATGACTTCGCTCTTCTTTTGTATATATTATATTTCTCTATCTTTTTATAATTATTTTGCGTTGAAAAATTGCATATAAAAACCAACTTTTTATCTTTCTTTGTCAGCTTGCAATTTACCGATCAAGTTAAGATTGGACACCATTAAACTAATCTCTACGAAAGCCGATGTTCTAAGATCTCTGAGTAACTTATAACAAAATCATACGTGATACTTCTTTCCTTATTTTTATTATAGGGAATTATAAAACGTCTATTTTTACCAGCATTGCAATTACTTAAGCATAGAGATTTTGTGCAAAAGCTGATATACTATGGTTACTATTAGGCAGAAATCGACTAAACTCAATGTTATCAGATCACTGTGTACCCTGTTGTAATGTATTTCTCTCCTTTTCATTATATTCTTTTCACAAAAAAGTATGAAAGGAATATTAAATATATATATATATATATATATATATATATTAAATACATTATATATATTTTTAATGTTTAACAAAACATAGTAGACCTCATATAGTACATATATTCTTGATCAAGTTTACAAACTGAGTTTATTTAGCCCTGTCCGTCTTTCTCTTTCACCATAAAGTACACTATTAGCTTTTGAGTTATTCGTATAAAACTTAACAAATATAGTTTTTGTGAGTAATTGTTTGTAGGGTTAACTCAAATAAAACCACTATATTCTATAGCTGCAATATAAACTGAGTAATTGGATATGAATTTTCTCAATTTTAAATACAGGTAATTGTTGGATTTGAGAAAATCAGGCTACTATATTTTCTAGATATGCATAAATACTTATATATGTTAATATTTATATATGTATATTTGTTATCATATATATATGTATATATATTATATAATACTTAACTACTTACTGCTGTCCTTCTCTTCTAATGGAGCATAGGGTCTCAAATACTCTATATAGTATATGTATATATATTATAATATAAATGACACCTCAATGTACATATAAATTTTTGTGTAAAGTATATCTCTGCACCTATAAAGCCAAAGTTAACATACTCAGTTGTTCTTAATTTTAATTCATAAACCACATAATTTTCTTGAGATATTGCCTAAACTTGACCATTGAGGTTTTGTTAAGCCATATTTCAATTTCTATATCTTGACAGTTGAGTTTGATAAAGCACTGATAAAGCCATCAGACAGAATAACAATCTTTTCAGTCTTAACCTGTAAATTAGCCCTGATGGCATTTTTATTTAGACTATCTACGTTATGCTGTAGATTGCTACTGCTGTGCCTCAATAAATATTTATCATATGCGTAATGCAGGTTCTTCAAATAAAATGATAGGTAATAATATTAACATATCGTTGAGCTATGTCATATTATGGTATTAATATATACGAGGGTCTGATAGTTCTCAAATTTTTCTATATATAAATTTTGTTATTAATCAACATCATTATCAGTAAATCTGATAATTTTTGGTCTATGCTTTTTTCTGAATTATTTTTTTTCATCTTCTAGTCTTTTCCTCTTGGCAAAATGTACTATTCCTTTAACTTAAATTAATTAAATTCAAGTAATTACTGTGATATCATAAAACACTTTTTACTCATTGCTGTTAATTTAACTCAAAATTTCTCTTCTTTAAAAATTTATTAATAAATTAAAATTTTATTTATTAATATTATTATTAATATATTATTATTTAATCAATTTATATCTATTTGCTAATAATAATATTTTAATTATTAATTAATAATGATTATTTAATTAATAATATTAATTATTTAATTATAATTTTTTAATATTTATTAGAAAATAATTTAATTCAAATTTCTGATTCGAAACTCTGGTTATTATTTTTTCAAGATAAAGGTTATTAAGACTACCATATTTTTAATTTAGATGTGTCATACTAACAATTTTTCCTCTCAAGTTCTTTTATTATCTCAAGTTCTTCGGAATTGTATCTGACTTAACTACTGATACCTAGATAATAAGAACAAAAATATGTATTTTGTGCTAAATTAATAATATACGCATTTTATTGTATGAGAAGTATATATATATATTAAAATATAAATATATAAATATATATATATATATATAAATAAACAATTACGTATTCAGACAATATTTTAATCAAATCAGATAAAATTAATTTTTACACATTTTTAAATAAAATTCAAAAACATTTCTATAATATAAACAAAATATATATTATATATAGGTTACAATTAAAACATAATAATTTATATGAAAAATTAAGTTTATATAAAAATAAAAAATATTTAACAAACATAATAAACGTTTTTTATTATACAATAATTTTTATTAGTCAATGTTATTTAAAGAGCATAACAAAGTTATTTAAAGAGCATATATGTTCTATTACATCCAGGTAAAAATCAATCATAGAGCCAATACATCAAATTCGTACGCAAATTCGCATATATCTATTATACACTATTATCTAGAGCAGTTTTTTTTTAAATTATGTTCTGTGAAGTTTTTTACATTTTTTAGACCCGGAAAAATATATGATTATAATTTATTATAATATATATAATTATTTATTAATCATAATTAGATAATATAGGTAAAGGACTATTCTACAGCAAAAAATGAGTAATACCTGGAGTTTTAAAAGGGTCATCCATATGAACTGATCACACAGTTGAGTTATATTTTTGCAACAAAAAAAAAACATCATAATGCCCATATATACTAAAAGACACTAAAGGGTTAATACTCAAAACAATGAACGATTATATTTAATTTGCAAAATGATATAAGAGCAATTGGAAAATTTTTTACTGGATTTAAAATGTTGTATTTTGTATTTGCTTTTTAATTGCTTTCTTACTAACATATGTATTGAAAAATTAGTGCTGCTATGTACAATTAAATGCTTGTTCATTTTACTAATTTAGTAAATAATGTGGTTAAAACTTATAAAAGCTTAAATGTTTATTTAGATATTGTTGAAGATTACTTAATAATGTTTAATATATAAAATATTTCATTCTGTTCCTACAGTTGTGATATATACAAACATTGGATCAGGAAGTTTTATAAACTTATGCGTAAAATCATTATTACCACAAATTTATTAATTGAATGTAAATCAAATATAGCTCAAGTAGTTTGTGGGAGTAACGTTATGCGAGCTTTCAACTTGCAGAAAATGAAACTCTTTTTATATTCATTATAATTAAAGTTTGATCGGTTGTGGCTGCTACTGAGTCAGCTTAAATTGATTGTAGATTTTTACATGCAAACTTCTCAAGTCCTCTGTACGTGGTCTTTATTTTACGCAGTTCATAAATTTAATACGGATTGAGAAAACGCTTGAAGGCTGGTCATGCCGATGCTATATATGTTTACCATAACTCCAGATAAAATAAATGTAATTGGCTTTGTTATAGCTTCGCGTGTTTTTCTAAAACGCGTTAGGATATTGGAAACTTTATCGATAACTTCGATAGTTTTTAAGAATCCATCTTTTTCAACTATGACGGCGTTGTGTTTATTGGTTCCATGCGTACCATCTTTAGTTTTTTATGTACCTAATTTTTAATCTATCACCAACGATATTTTTTCTAAGAAATTAAAGCTGTAGTTTTTTTTGTTGAATATCTGTCAGATAGCATAAGTTACTAGTGTAACCTAAATCATGTTGTTTTAATGAGGTAATCAGTAAAAGCCCAAAATAAAATCGTTTGATGTCACCCATTTACTTAATTTATTATTTTTTTGTAATAATCACTACAGATTCCGTTTGCATACATCTCCTGACGGAGCTCCGTTTTTGTAATACTTCTCCTTTTATCTAATATAAGCTAAGTGTTCTTTTTCATTGATCCTATGGAATATTAAAATATAATTTTTTGCTTAATAGTTTAGCTCAAACCTTTTCACTCATATTAATCTTTCTCCCTAATTATCATTACATTCAGGCTAAGATAAATTTAGTTTCTAAATTCAATTTTTCTTTGTTTCACTGTCATACGTTTGTTTACTACCCACCTCCAAGTGGCTGTGCCATGAGATCTCTTCCGAATAATAACCTTTATGTATTTCAATTCTTCAAAATACATCTCTCCTTATCTAATGGAAAATGTGTCTGCTACTCCACTGATCGTAGAGTAAATCAAATATTTTTCTTATGAGCTTAACTCAACCCTTTTTACTTATTTTAATCTCCTTCACTTAATAAAAGAAGCATTCTGGTTTAGACAAATATAATTTTCAAATAACAAATCTCTTTATTTTCCTTTCATACCTTCGGTTTCTAGAATGGGATTCATTATTAAGTCTTGTATGATCAGGTCAAATGGTCCTGTTTGTTTTTATCTCTTTTAAGATAACTTTAATAGATTTATGTCCCGGTGGGTTTTTACCTACAGGAAAAATAAGTCACGTATTATTAACATATTATTTGATAATAATGTTGTGTAAATCGAAGATGTCGGGGAGGTTGGCATTAATGGATAACTTTGAATAAAACAAATTAGTTGTTGGTAATTATTACAACTCGCAGGGCTTTTATTTACATTGTATGAAGTCCTTTGTGAGCTGTGAAAACACATTCAATATATATTATATATTTATTTATATATATTTAAATTGTTTATATATTATATATTATGTAATATATGCCATATATTATATATTATACATTATATATTTTTATTATGTGTTATATATTGTATTTATTTATATATATTTTAACAAATTCAAATTTTTTTTACAAAAAGTTTCTTACTGCATTTTATGTTCAATTATTAGTCGTATATTTGGTTACTGAACGTAGGGTATATGCAATGCTTAAATACACATTATGTCGATAAAATTCAGCTCAATTATTTATAGACTCAGTCACTCATAAAAGTTGTCTGAAGAGTTGTCGCTGGCACTCAATGTGAGTATATCTATTTATTAGTCTTTCATAACTGATAAAGAGCCACTTAAGACTGTTGTGGAAAATTGTAAAGAGCTCCAGATTGTTCAAAATACCGCATACGCGGTCATAACAATAGCAAACGACAGTGAAGTAGCTTCGTAATCGGTTTAGACTCTTCGACAATTTAAGTAATATTAGAAAACTATTTTGATTTTGGCTTGCGATATTTATTGTTATTGTTTAGATCTGAGAGTGAGCTTCACTCTAATAACTTTGTTTACTTTCAACAACAGCACAACAACAAGTCTCAATTGAGCCTCTCTCAAAATGTCGTCTCACGGACAAGTTTGGACTACTGCCATACGCGGGCTTGTATTATTTTTAGTACTTGGTTTGACGTTTGGCGTAGCCATGGAAGGCAGCAACTCAACTAAAGTAAGTTTAATATAGTAGGGCTTTTAGTGAATAACAATACAATTTTGGCTTCAACCCAAAGTGAAACAAATATGGGTGAAGGTGATTTGTGAATTTCATATATAATTTTTTTAATTTACTTTGACTTAATGTCTGACACAAAAAAACCAAGATAAGTAAATTCAAGCACGCAAGTGAACTAAGTTATTACCTTATGCATATTTAAAAATAATACATACAAATATTTTTTATATCTCTTACCATACTATTGTGAATGAAGTATCCACTAAGTCTGATATAGTGTTTTTAATGCATTGAAAAAAATGTCGGTGAACATATAAAACATATATTATGTACCAAAAATATATTACAATTTTCTATATATTTAAACATATAATATATTTTTGATAGACAAATCTGGAAAAATTAAAGTTCATCTAACTGTGTAACTGTATGTCCATTTACTCTTTCGCTGTCTGTATTTTGTCTATTTATCTATCTTCCAGACCAATGGGCGCACAGACATATGAACAAATAATCTGTATGAGTGTATGTCTGCTTGCCTATTCATCATTCTGGCTATTTGACTTTGTGTCTATTGATCTGTTTAGTTGTCTGCTTATTTTTTTTCGAGTCACCATCTGTTTCTCTAACTCTTTGAGTAAATGCCTGTCTAATTGTCGATCAAGCTATCTGTCTGTCTTCTTGATCCAGTGTTTATTTTAGGTGTATTCTTTTATATCTATTTATCTGTCTGTTTTTCTGTCTTTCTGGAGATCTGAATATCTGTTTATTAGTCTCGATGTTTGTGTGTCTATCTGTTCATTTATCTGTTTGTTTTGTCTGTCTATTTGTCTGCTTGTACATCTATTTTTCTATTTACCAAATTATCTGTCTATTTGGCTATTTCTTTTTGTCTGTTTCTCTATATTGCTGCAAATCTGAGTTTGTGTTTATGGGTCCTTCTTTTTGTCTATCTGTCTATTTATCTGTTTGTTGTTATCACTTCTTGTCTATCTGTCTACTTACCAATATATCTATTTCATTGTCTCTTTCTATTCTGTTTCTGTCTATTATTTTTCTGTTTTGTCAATCTGTTTATCTGTCTATATATTTTTCTGTCAGTTTGACTGCCTCTTGCTCTTTGACTATCTTTTTCTGTCTTTTTTTGTATCTTTATGTAAATTTGATTACCTGTTTATTGGTCTCTCTGTTCATTGGTCTCAATATTTATTAGTCTCTCTGTTTATTGGTTTCTCTGTTTGTCTATTTGCTTATCTGTTCGTTTTATTTATCTTTTTGTCTGTTTGTTCATCTATATCTTTATCAGTCTGCTCATCTTCTATCTATCTATCAGTCTTTTTGTTCGTCTCCATGTTGGTCCGGCTTTTGCTCGTCTGGTCATTTTATATGTCAGTCTGTCTGTTTGTTTGTCTGCTTGCCTGTCCTTTTCTCAGTTTAAAAGGTAAACTTTCTGTATATTTGTTTATTTGTTTGTCTGTCTTTATTCATCTGCCTACTTGTCTCTCTGTTTGACTGTTTCTACCTATCTGCTTGTCCAGCTTTCTGTATGTCTACCTGTTTATAATTTGTTTGTCTACGTGTTTATGAATCTAATTCTCTTTTTTCCTCTCACTCTCTCTCTCTCTCTCTCATTCTCTCTCTCTCTCTCATTCTCTCTCTCTCTCATTCTCTCTCTCTCATTTTTTCTCTCTCTCTCATTCTCTCTCTCTCTAATTCTCTCTCATTCTCTCTCTCTCTCTCTTTCTTCCTATCAATCCCACTATCCGTCTGTTTAATGTCTCTCGATCGATTTTCTTGTTAAAATTCGACCAACAGTAAACCTTTATTAAAAGTATCATGTATAGTTTTTTATATTCAGAGATACATCTATCTATAAATGTTTGTATTTAAAATTTGTAAAGCACACCTCCATGTAATACTATTTTTTTTCCAAAAAAAATTATTTGTTAATTTTATCACGTCTGTATGAAATGCCTGTCGTTTGTTATAGCAATTCTATATTTTTCTTCTTATATTTAGAATTATTGACAATTTTAGAGAAGAACAAGTAATAATAGATTAGTATTTTGTGAATAAATAAAAAACATTATGATAAAGATTCAATCTACACCTTTGTTGCAACAGGAGCAAATTTTATAAATAAAGTTTAGGCTCATCGACCAAACTTCTTAGTTTAAACATTATCTGTATTACTCATAGATATATAATTAATAATTTAGTTTATAGAAAAAAAATCTTTAAAAGTAATTAAGTCACACATTAAAATTTTTGTACTATACAATTTAGTTGACAGTCATACTAAACTCCCTTACTTCACTCACGCAAGCAGTTAGTGCTTAATTTAAATTAAATTGAAATTTAATTAAATAAAAGTCATAAGTATCATAAACATCAATCAAAAAAAAATTCTAAAAAAAATAAAAATGAAAAAAAAATGAAATAAAAAAGTGTGAGCTAACAGCATCAAAAACACGAAATAAAAATAAATAAAATTCTATAGAAAGCCTTATGTAAATAATTTCAATGGTAAAACTTGGTATTGTGAACAAGTAATATGTCATCAACTACTGGAACAATATGTGATATATATTATGGAGATTATAATATATTCTGTTTTTTTGAATGGTTTCAGTCCAAAATCGAAAATTGCTAAAAAACTTTATTTTAATGTAGTACTGTTTCTTATAACATCCCCTGTAAAATATAATGTTTAAATATATTGCTTAAAGTTACCATCATAATAACTGCAACTAAGAAAGTAAATTTAGATACGTCCCCATACACTTATTGTGAGTGTCCTACAGTATCAATATAAAATTTCTACAATCTTGAATGTTCGATTGAGATACTTTAGTTATGTACATTAATAGGTATTTGTTTCATTTAGGTACTTAAATATTTGTAAGTAAACATTTAGAAAAATTTAATAATGGTGACATAATAAATAAATGTTTTAAAGTATATTGTAAATATGCATTTATATGAATCAACAATATTTTCTTTAGAATATCTGTCTTACAGAAAGTGTTAAATAAGTGCAATTGATTAAAAAAGATTGCACTTAACAGATATGCCAAATGGCATATTGTATGTAAAACCTACATACAAATAAGCCACAAATTTGCACCAACAACGATGATGGCTTACGTACTATAGAAGTTTGTGTGTGCATACAAGATTCGTTGATTATTGATACTTTAATGAAATGTGTTATATTATGAACTAAATATTGTTTGAATAAAATGTCGATTTGATTTTGTATATGAATAAGAAATCTACATTTTCCTTTTGGATTAATATATCTTTAAATATTCTAAACATTTTCAATAACTAATTTAATCACTTTAGTACAGTAAAGATAAATACAGATTTTTGATTGTTATTCCTTGGGTAACAAAAAAATAGATATTTTCTAATAGATATTTTAAGAAATATTTCATATTGAGCTATTTTAAATCTTTTAAATAAGTTACTTAAAAAAGATAAACCACATGTTTATAAAAATCGTCACATTTATTAATAATTTTTAGGTACATACGCAATATTTTGAGGTTTAGTTTTAGAAGAGGTTTTTAATGCAATTATTATTGACTTACACAACATCCCACGTATATAGCAAATATATTTTACCAATAGTACTCGTATGCTTTTATCTCAGATAATCTACAAAATTATTTTGTTACACATTTTTGAGTAGATAATCTCTCTGGTTGTAATAATTTCGACGATTATATTGCTTATTAGAACACGGTTGACATTATTATGAGAGAATGATTATTTCTCAAAATACAATTCAATCGATTAAAATTTGAAAAGAATTACATGATAGTAACTTAAACATTTTTAATTGAGAATTTACAGGTATTTGTACTCTTAAATATTATTGTAAAACTAATTTAGATAATATAGAATCCAATACTTAATCTGGACCTCAGTTGTTTTAAACTAAGCAGTATTTAGCCAAAGATGATTTGAACAAAAATAAAATATTTCAGTTATGAAGAAAATTAAGTAAACTTTTGCGGTATCTTTATTTATAAGCATGTCTTATATTAGATTTATCGGTATATATAGTAGCTGTAGTAGTCTTAATATTTATTAAATTTTTGAAATTGATTACTATAGCAAGTGAACTTATTTAGTAGATCTGTTTCATATAAAAAGTATTTTCAATAATAAAGTCCAGGTTTGTATTTATATAGACCATATAGTCGTTATAACGCATTGGTCTCGAGAAGCAAGTTATAAAAAAGGAGGGTTTCAAAAGGAGGTATCAATCAAGATTCAGTCATATGTTGTGCTAAAAAAAATATATCGGTAGTAATCTAAAAAATCTAAGATTTATAGTTGTTCAAGTTCAAAATTATATGAGTTAACAACCCTACTTAGACTTAGATTTCGTTCTACAGATTTGTTCTTGGACACTAAAAAATAATTGCATTATGCAATTTATTATATATATATATATAAATATAACAAAAGTACAATAATATATATATATAAACAATCCGTTTTTAGATGTGAGAAAATCAATATGTTTCTTGGTACTTCTAAAAACACATCTACTAATTCTCAATACAATTTATATAATAGTAGACTTATTCAAATCTGTTCCTCTAATAACATTTAAAATTTATATGTATATATGGAATTACTTAACTATTTACATTAATTTTTTATTAATTTATGAAGAAATAAATTTATATATAGAGTGGTTTCGAAAAGTAGTGAACTTAATTTAAAACCTCTTTAATATATACCATAGTCTCTATGAAAGTGAAAATAGTCACTACTGTCATATTGACATTACAATCAAATTTAATATATACCTAAATTTAATTATTAAATAATGAACTTCTTAATTATAATTACTTGTAATCGCCCATAAAGAATGTAAGAGTTGATAATAATTTTAAGTTCTACTAATAATGAAATTAAGGTAATATTAATCAAGATGTTAAAATATTTTTAGTAAAATATTTCGATTAGAAACTAAATAAGATAGTAAAAATATATATACAGGTTTGAGATAAAACCAAAACTGAAGTTGATAAGTAATTTTGAATTATTAATCATAAACAATGCCCTATTTGTTACTTTTAATCATAAATTTAATATTAATTATACACACATTTATAAAAATAAAATTTAAAAAACAATTTACTAACAGGTGGACTGTAAAGTTATTAGTGTGACATAAAAAGACATTACTTTGATAAGATTCAGTTTTATTCATTAAAACATTTTCAACTCCGATTGTTATTATAATATTATTTGTACACCTGTCTTTTATTATATATAATTATTTTTTGAGACTTTCAAAACAATCCTCTGTTTTGGCAACGTCTTCTTTATTTAAATTTAAACTCTTCCTTCAGATCATCCCTTTAAAATTTGCGGAAGGATCTCATTGACTTGAGATCAGCTGCATTTTATTAAAAAAGCTCTTCCTCTTTTAACTACAGTTTATATATAATAGGTATAGGTATAATAGGTATAATATAATTTTTCGCTCTTCAATGTTATTGCTGAATATCATAATGCAGGCAGCCCCAAAATATAGATACCATAAACCAAGACCAATTTTTAAGATCTTAGTTGACTATCGCAGATTACTCTCCATATTAGGTCTTCAAGGTATAATAGAAGAGCCATTTTCTGCCTATATTCACCTATCGTATAAAGAAATGATTTTTACTACGCTTAAATTGGAACAAGAAACATTCAAAGGTACATACGGCAAGCATTTTATTAATAACTTCCTCAAGGCAAAATGTTCTATAATTGTTTTCTGTAATTTCAATTTACGAACATTTAGAGCACTTAAAATAATTGTTTAATCCTTTACTCAGTAGTATTATCATTTCAACGATCAAAGTATTTAACACTTTTGGTATTTATAGGATCGCTTTTCACTTCAGCATATCAATAAATGATATCTAATTTTACTAGGATTAATACTTAACTTATTTCTTCTCAATTTAGGATTTACATTCATTTATTATGACAATGGCAGTACAATTAAATTAACACAAACATTACATAAAAATATTAATTCTATATTAACATTTCTGATCTATTTTATTTCCAGTTTTTTTTTACTATATCTGTCTACAGATCATCTTAGTGGTCTTGCACCTAATAATATTTATCACGTAATCGATGGTCTTTCATTCTTCATATTTTAAAAAATTCGATTTTCACTAAAAGATATTTGTGTTTTTTAACCTGTTCTATACTCTTTTCGTACATTTGCACCATAGATTATTTGAGTAGAAATTGGAGCAGTCAATCATATTTAGTCCCCTAAACTTTTAGTTTCTTTCTAGTAACTGCGCTGAGGACACCTTTTAGCTTTGCAACGAGTATGGTCAACTATATTTCCTGTACTGCACTTATGCCCAAATCGATATCTGTGCTTTGCTTTCCACCTTGTTTTAAGTATGATCACTTATATCTTCAGTGTTATAATTGTATTATTTTGATACCTTAATAATAGTGACATAATAAATAATACCAGCTTATACCAAGCATAGCATGGTCAACTGTCTCTTTTTACACCTTATGCCAAGTACGGTCAGCAACATCTTCTAGGTAGCACCAAATACAGTCAGCTGTCGCAGATCTTTGAAAATAAAAATACAGATCATTATACATATATATATGTTTAAAAAATAATGTGTCTTATATCTAACGTTTGGACTTTAACTCAGAGCACAATACAAATTTGCTAGAACCTAAAATCGATTGAACAGTTTTCAAGGAAATATAGTCTCTTTCACAACCCTGATTCATTAAATTTTTGATAAGTTTGAAACAGAATAAATTTAACATTAATTGTTGATATATTTTGACTAAAATCTGATCGTTAGATCCTCCGCTTGATTATTTTGAAATACTTTTTAGTTACTACGATGGTCTTGACTAATACTTACAAAAGTGATTTCTTTATTATTGTCAGATATTGTTTTGAATATTTTTTAAATATATAAGCCATTTTACTATTAGTAGTTTTTGGTTGTCTAATAGTTTATTGAACATTTAGTCGGTTATATATATAGTTTACCACATCCGTATTTTAACATCTTCGTATTGTAGATATTGAATTTCTACTCCTAATCTTTATACTGGATAACTATTACCTGATCCATTAAACAGTGAATACGTATTAATTTATTAGTTTCGGAATATATTTATGTTAATATGTGTTCCTTAATAATATAACTTTGCATATTGCATATATCTTAGGGTCCATGATGATTTTTTAATACTTTCTTATAGAGTCACAATGATCGATCGGTTTGTTGCAACCAACATTTTACGAAGTAACTTTTATATTAATTAATTCCAAATTATGACAGCTCTAAACATAAAAATTTATTATCAATGTTTCTATTCATATATGTAGGTACATATATGTAGACAATATTACTTTTTCTTAAACATGATTTCTTTATCTGTCTGTCCATCCAGTTGGTTGGTGTTACGATAAATTCCTTATTTCTAAATTCTAATTAGAATTAATGCTAATTCTGCTTAATGTTAATGTTAATACTTCATTTAAGCATTTAAAAATGATTTTGATTGATCAACACGAGTGAACTGCGGACGAAGATTGACCCGTATTGAAACCATTCATCTCATCTCACTGGAATAAAACAGTTAAAATCAACAAAATGTTATACACATATAAGATAATTTGATATATGCAATATATAATACTTATTTGGCCATTACAGACGTGGGTCGTCGTTGACCGCGTCGAGTAACCTCCGCCAGTCAGCCCGATTAGCTGCTTTTTGACGCCAGTTGGTAGTACCGAGCGCCCCCAAATCGTTGATCACCTGGTCCTTCCACCGAAGATGCGGACTTTCTATACCGCGTTTTCCACCTGCGGGTACCGAATCAAATACCTTTCTAGCCGAAGCACTTTCTTCCATTCGCACAACGTGACCAAGCCAGCGTAGCCGCTGAATTTTTATGCGCTTTACTATGTCAATGTCGCGGTATAGCTCATACAGCTCATCGTTGCATTTAATTCGACACTCGTCGCCAACGCGTAAGGGACCACAAATCTTCCAAAGAATATTTTTTTTTGTTGAATGCTCCTAACACCTTCTCATCACTGTTGGTAATTGTCCAAGCTTCTGCACCATACAGCAGGACAGGTATGATAAGAGATTTGTAGAGCGTGATTTTTGTTTGTCGAGAAAGGGCTTTATTTCTCAATTGCTTACTTAGCCCGAAGTAACATTTGTTGGCAAAAGTGATTTTTCGTTGGATCTCTAGGCTGATGTCATTTATATATATATATATTAATTATATATATTATATTTATATTATATTTATATATTTATATAAGTTAATGTATTCTGATAATATATTACGATTATATATTATGTACTATCTTTAAGCGTTCCTTTGATGTCGACCATGATAATGACACATTTGTACTTGATGGAAAACCTTTTCGATACGTAGCAGGATCATTTCATTATTTTCGCGCACTTCCAAAATCATGGCAAAATCGCTTGAGAACTATGAGAGCTGCAGGACTTAATGTGGTAGACACGTAAGTAGTAAATAAATATTTAAATTAGTAAAATGTCTTTAGAATATAATTCTTTAATTTAGAAATTTAAAGTTCACCGCATTTCCTTTGCATTTTCTTGCCGAAATTATATACCACTACCTACATTTTTTCTTATAGGTTTAACAAATATTTTCTGTACATATTACACTAGTTTTTCAATACAAATGATCAGTTGAGATAAAAAATTTAAATTATAAAACAAAAATAATGTGAGTATAAAAATTAAACAATAATGCAATATAGATCACGAAAAAGTGACAACCAAGCACGAGGCATTCAGTCGTCCATATGAATAATGTCACCGGTGAGGTGTTTCTGATTTCCTACGACGTAGGGGCTCCCTTCTTAGAACAATAATGCTATATAGAATCTTGATTATAAAGTCTATCATTATCATCTCATAATTTTTTTATAAAAAAAAACATCATCTTGTATTATATGAAATGAATACAATTGCTACTATTCTTACTACTACTACCATTATTACTACTAATTATTGTAAACTAATGATCATATACTGCTTGTAGCTATGTAGAATGGTCTCTACACAATCCACACGATGGTATTTATGATTGGAAAGGCATAGCTGACTTGGAGGATTTTATTAAATTAGCACAACAAGAAGATCTTTATGTTATACTACGTCCAGGTCCGTATATCTGTGCTGAACGTGACAATGTATGTAAACATTTTCATTTTTGTTTTTATAAATTAAGTGAATTTATTTTTTTTTTATTCTAAATTTATATAGGGTGGTCTTCCACATTGGTTATTTACAAAGTATAGCAATATGCAACCACGCACAAGCGATCCAAATTACTTGAAGGAAGTGGAGATATGGTATAAGCAATTAATGCCGCGTATGCAGCGCTTTTTATATGGTAACGGTGGGCCCATAATAATGGTTCAGGTGGAGAATGAATATGGGGTCTTTCATGCATGCGATCGTGATTATTTGAATTGGTTGCGTGATGAAACCCAGAAATATGTAGAAGACAATGCATTACTTTTTACGACTGATATTCCTAACGAACGTATTGCTTGCGGTAAAATTGAAGGTGTTTTTGCTACCACAGATTTTGGCATTGACAGAAGTGAGTAACCGGTATAAGGAACATTTATCTAAAATAAATCTAAAATAAAATTTTTGTTAATTTTACAACAGTTCATGAAATTGATGATATATGGAAAATGTTGCGTGCCATACAACCTACTGGACCGCTTGTCAATTCTGAATTTTATCCTGGTTGGTTGACACATTGGCAAGAGGAAAATCAAAGACGTGATGGTAAATTAGTTGCAGAGGCATTAGAGTAAGTTGAAATATACAAATAATTCATGCTAAATTTGGTTTTATTAAAGTGAGCTAAACTCCTCAAGTCCTTAGCCATTTCAATAAGCAACGTGGTTGTAGTCTATAGTTGTAGTCTATAATGCATATAGAACTTTATTTCGGTTGGCTTATAATTTACTACGTTTCTGGCAGAGGTGGTGTGAATCATTATTACGCCTTATAATTGCCTGACTATGAATATATAGATTTATTTTCAAGTTGGTCCGCATATTGTGTGAAACTTTACTACTGAGAAGGAAATTCAAAATATGTTTACCTCATAACCAATAAGTAGCTTGTCATGATAGATGATCCTCATTTGCTTTCACTTTTTTTATATATATAACAAATTTGAATATATTATTATTAATATTAGACTGTGAACACTCATTTGTATAAATATTTAAAACCAATTTTTTATTTGTTTTTAGCAAAATTCTTTCGTACAATGCAAGTGTCAATTTCTATATGTTCTTTGGTGGTACAAATTTTGGTTTTACAGCTGGTGCAAATGATTGGGGCTATGGAAAGTATACACCTGACATAACTTCATATGATTATGATGCCGTTATGGATGAAGCTGGTGGTATCACAGAGAAATATGAATTAGTACGTAATGTCATAAAAGAATATATGGAAGTACCTGATATTAATGTAACAATGGCTTCACGCATTGCTTATGGCTCTGTTATATTGAAGCCGATAGCAACAGTGCTATCTGGCATGGGACGTTCAACTCTAACTAGAGGTAAAGCAATAACTGCTGAAAAACCTCAAACATTTGAGGAACTTGATCTGTATTCAGGTCTTGTTCTATATGAAACTGAACTACCAAGGTTGGAAATTGATCCCACTTTACTGACGGTTAATGATTTACGTGATCGAGCATTCGTTTATGTCGACGAACAATTTGTAGGCACTTTATCTAGAGAAAATCAAATATTTTCATTACCATTGAGCAAAGGTTGGGGTAATAAATTACAGCTCTTAGTGGAAAATCAAGGTCGCATTAATTTTAATGTTGCCAACGATACTAAAGGCATAATGGGTGATATAACCGTACAACGTTTAAGTGGCGAGAAACAAAAACTTGTTAATTGGGTCTCAACAGCAATGCCTTTAGATGGTGATCAAATTCTTGATATAATAAATAAGCACAAGAGCATAGACATGACTGATGATGTTTTAAATATCAAATCCCATGTGATGTCAAATGGACCTGTTGTTTATTATGGAGAATTCTTGGTGGGTAAACTAGGTGATACGTATCTAAATACAACAGGTTGGGGTAAAGGCGTTCTTTATGTTAATGGATTTAATTTGGGACGCTACTGGCCGCAAGCTGGTCCACAAATCACTATGTACGTGCCAAAGGAGCTTTTAACCTTAGGTCTTAATAGTGTAGTTATGTTAGAATACCAACTCGCAAATCAAAAAATACCCAATATTGCATCAGTGGAGTTAATGAGTAAAGCACAATTGGACGGTTAAATACAAACGCATAATTTACTATGAAAATGGAATAAATAATAAAATTTTCATATATTTAATGAAACGAGACTAATTCGGGCACAAAGTAAATGTACTTTTATATGTATCTGGCAAATAAAATTAATTATAACTGTATAAAGTTTTCCCTAATTGGAGTTCCTTACTATAAAAATACCAATAGCAGTCTTAATAGTAGAACAGCCAGTTCAAAATATATAGTGTATATAGTTTTTGAAAATGGTCAAAAAGTTAAATATCTGGAAGTAGTTCTAGTTTTAAAAGATGTAATTATAAAAATGCTGAGCACGGCAGTACTAAAAGTATGTATAGAAATTAAATCAATAAAATTAATAGCGAGTTTAAGCTGGATGTCCTAGGACTGTTAAAGTGATGGTAGGTATACAAAATCGAAAAACAACCTTTCAACATTTAATGAAGAGTAAGTGAAATTTATAAAATCTGTTAGAAAAACTGTGTGGTCTGTACATACATAAAGCAATATAAAATATGCAAGAGAAGAAAAAAAATGTCTTCTTGTGTTTTTCTTTGATTTTAAAATAGCTATCATTGTGCGTTATCTCCAGATCCAACAGTCCTACAATATGCTTCTTAAAATTAAACAAAAATATAAAAAAAATTTAAATAAAATGATAGGATATAAATTAAAAATTGTTACAAAATATATTTGAAATGATCAATAATCTCATAATAAATTTTTATAATTATTTGTATATCATTTATAATAAGATTTTTAATTTTCACCGGGCTTAGATTTTATTTAACACATAAAAATTTTAAAAAATATCGCATTTAATAATTTGTATTAAAATTTTTTAATATATTTTTAAATAATATTTGTAAGAGTGAGTTTGTGTTATAATCATAATTATATCTAAGCGAACGAAGGTCTTCCTGGGTTCCTGATAGGATTATATGTCCTATATAATCAGTACTTGATCGTCTGTACAGATCGGCTCCAGAATGTAGACTTGATCAGTCCTGTAATTTGTATTAAAATTTTTTAATATATTTTTAATAAATATTTGTAAGAGAGTTTGTATTATAATCATAATTATATTCAAGGGAACGAAGGTCTTTCTGGGTTCCTGATAGGATTATATGTCCTATATAATAAGTACTTGATCGTCTGTACAGATCAGCTCCAGAATATAGACTTGATCAGTCCTGTACAGCCAGTTTTTGTACAGCCACACAGATTAGTGATTTTGTAAGGGCAGTGCTTCATTGGTATTAATTATTTAATCATCTATGTATTAATAATTGTATTAATAATTGTATTAATTATAATTAATTGTATTAATAGTAATTATTATTATAATTTAAAATTTGACGTTCATAAAAAAAAATAATTGTTAACAACTACCATTTACCATTACCATCAGATTATCGCATCCAGTTCAGTTATTCCTTTTTTGATTTATTTGTAAATTGTTATCCCATAGTAAATCGCTTTATTGCTTATTTGTCCTTTTATTCTTAATAATTAATTAATAAGTAAACATTACTATTCGCTTTTTTATATATAAAAGATTGAAAAGTTGAAATAAGCAGATAATTTTGTATAATTCATATAATCTGTAGTGTACTCTATTAGTTATATTTTTTACTACTACAGAACTTCTTTCTCAAGTAGTGCTTGCTTAATATTTTTTGGTAGTTTAGTATTGAAAAATATTTTTTTTTAAAAATCTGAAGCTCTATAACAGGATCAATAATTCTATTTGGTTTGAAAAGCATATACATTTTACAAAAAGTGATAACTGTAGACTAAAATCAATACATGCTTAAGAGAGATCTCTGTTTATAGGAGCTTCCTTTTAAGATAGCTGAAGAATATCATTTGTTAGAGTGTTTCTTCAGCAGAACTGTCTCTGTTAACTATTAAATATAAAGATGATGAACATCACTTCTTTAGTTTTAAAGAGATAAGCGTCACCTTTGAATTGAAAAAAAAAATCTGAAATAAAAGAACCAAATAAGTTAAGATATGACAAATTTTAAAATATTATTATTACTAAACATTTACAGAATGTTTGTATTAGTGTCGATCTCAATGTTTATGTTACGTTAAAACATTTGCATTTTTCAACATCTTTCTATTCAAAGTATCTTCACGTTCACACTTTTGTTGTATACATTCAACTTCTGTCAATCACTTACTCTTCAAGGCACATGATTGAATCCACACTCTTCAATCCCCATATACCTACCCACTGACTTGTTAAATACTTTCTTTGCTTACATTATATTTCATTGCCCCTTTTTGCATTGTTATGGGGTACAGTGAAAGATCCGTTAAATGATCAATCTCTCTTAACTATTGTCGGTTCCCGTTTTACAGTTTTTATACAATGTATGTCTTTTCATTTAAAATGTTAGTTCATTGCATCAGACAGACTTACTGATCCCACAGGTGTCCGCTTAAAAAAGCTTTCCGTGTGTTACTTATAAGTTGGGTTACCAAAGGCACTTATATGGTTACCGGCATATTAAATCCCTTTAAAACCACAATCCTTATAATAATTATATAAATATTATTATTAATAAAAAAATCTTTATAATGTATTTTAATAATAATTGCATATTTATTAAATTTTATTCATTTGTTCTTTATTGAATGCATTTTTTTAATATTCAAGCAGTTTTTATTAAATTGTTAATTAAATTAAATTGTTAATTTTTTTTTTCTTACTTAATAAATATTTCATATATTTACTAAAATAATATATTTATATAATTGGTGTTTAGGAAATTATTCATTAATTTTATATTTTTCAATTATTTCTAATACAAATTCCAAATTATATTTTATTTTATTATACATTGTTGTATGCTCTAAGTTATTATATTTTTATATTGTTACTAATTATTTTTATATATCTTTTTATTAAAATATATTATTTATATTGGCTAACCTAAGGCATTATTTTTTTGAATAGTGCCAATTGTACGAATTGACTGATATTAACTTTCGATTTAATTAATAATTACTTATGTAGTGAAATATATTAATATTTTGTTCATTTGCTGTTAGTGATTTTTTAAATCATAAATTTTTATAATTGCTCTCAATATATATAATAATTCAGCAATGTTTAAGATAATAATTCAAAGCTCCTTTTATATTCAGAAAAGGTGAAGCCGTAAAAAACATGAACTCAAATTTGTCCGTTAATTATTTTTTAATTTAATATTTGTAAATAAATAAATATATCAAATATTAGGGAATTCAATTTTATATAAACTGATATTATTTTCTTTTTTTTACCTTTAAATATATTAGACACTTTTATTGTTTTGTTGAAGTTGCTTGTCTAATGTTTATGTTATTTTCAAATTTAGTTGGCAAAGGAGAAATTATATTAATATATTACTTAATATATATATACGTATATATATAAATATATATATACAATACATTAATCTGTACATAACTTAGTGGAAGTACACAATTTTTATTTTAATATTATTTTAAATGTAAAATTTATTTAAATTTAATAATTAACATTTCATTGTTTTCATCGTTTGTTTTTTAATTTATTGACACTAGATTGAAATTTGAGATTAAAATAATTTAAAACCAAACATATACATATAATCATATAATATTTAGTAAGGTATTGCCCTAATAACATTTATCACACCTTTAAAATAATATAGAATGATTAAAAAAAATAAATTATTAGATCTATAAAAGTAGAACACTGTTTAAAAAAACCATTAATAAATAATGGTTTATCGTATAGATAAATTCATTTGAATAATTAAATCAACTCCAAAAAAATTTAGTTAAAAAATATGTGGAATAAAATTAAAAATATATAATAAATAATTAAAGTAAATATATAAACACAAAATATTTATAAAATAAATATGTTTCCCTATTTTTGGAAAGAGTAGTATAATATAAATTTATAAAAATGCAATAATATTTATTAGATTGCAATTGGTATACTAATAAAATATATATGAATTTAAATAAAGTAGAAATGTTACAAATTGTTAAATAAAAAATTTTTAGTAATTAATAAAATGTAATTGCAGTCAAGGCGCTCTTAAACGGACACTGCCCGTTAAAACTATGAAATTACATTATACGATTAAAAAATATATATTTATAAAAGCGTATATTTTACAAAGCAGTCATAAGTCACTGTGAACACATATATAATAAAAAATTCTAGTAAAAAATAAATAAATAAAATTCTAGTAATTAAATTATTAAAAAATAAATAAAATAAAATAAAATATTAAATATTTAATCAAAATATTTAATTTAGACAATAATTAATATATTAAATAAAAATATATATTAAATAATACCAGCATATAAGAAATTAGTGCGCTGATGAAATTCATATATAAAATATATATAAAAATATATGAAATTAATGCAGACAAGATATAGAAATTAACAGAAATGTTGAATAAAAATTTTATGTTATAAACAAATAGAATCAGAATATAAATAATTAACAAATAAAATAAATAAATAACACATAAAATAAATAATTAAGCAGTATCAGTTAATATTAAAAAAATTTTTAATAATATAAATTTATTTGATTTTCACCATTTTTAATGTTAGATTTGTATTGATCTAATAATTTATTTTTTATGCAAGTTGAAATGTTGACTAGAGTCGTAGTAAGCCTTATCCCAGTTGCTATATTAATATTTGTATAGAATAAAAGGTGTGATAAATTAATTATTTTATAATAGGCTTAAATGCTGTTAACTTGTATTTTCAACCATTTTTAAATACATATTTTCATATTAAAAATTGACTTAATTATTGCATATGATAACTAAAAGAATTAAGAGATAAAAATTTGTGACTTAGAATTTTTTAAATTCGTGAAGTTTATATATTAAGAATCCCTTGGAACATGATGAGACGTGCTCCTAAAATTGTGAAACTTGTCTTCATATGAGAGGGAATATCATTGAAATTTATTAGTACTTCAACGTGGTCTAGCATTATAAGGTCCACGAACAGTTTTAGTTCTCTCGAAATCGAACATTTTGAAAATGCTGATGACACTCGAATAGCAACCTGCTATTCATTTTTATTTCTGTTGATTTTTTATTAATATCCTCTGCTCGAACACAATACACAGCTAGAATACACTGTCGAGCCAAATAATCTGACATAAGCGTATTCGAACATTAGGTTAAGTAAGGTTATACCGGCGATCACTAGTGGATCCACTTAAGCCTATTGGCCCATTATGTTACTGTATATATAGAAAAAACTCAGGGTTTAAAACCACCTAGAACCTGTGGTGAACATTAAAATGCTAAAATAATTCGAGCAATTTGATTAATATTGAAGCACTAGGATTTAACATCTTTCATATACGACATTATTATAAAATACAAGTTAACAAATTAAAGCAATTAGTTTATATAAACAGAATTAGTTATTATGACTTTACATTTTACAAATTATTTTTTCTTATATTAAAATACATACGATTAAACATAATCAATTAAAAGTTTAAACAAAATATTTAACTAGTTAAAAAATAGATATAAAATTACATATTAAGTATCACTTAATGTACATTTTAAAAGTTAAGTAACATTATTAGTTGTTGCATTTGTCTTTTAGTTTGTTAATTGAGTATTCAAAATAGTTATCTTAAGTTAATTAAGTTGATTAATAGGTTATTTGTGTATTATTTGAGCCTTGAGGCTCCTCAAAAAATTGCAATCATATTTTAGTCTCTTCAATGAAATTTGTTGCCCCCGCAAAAATATTTTCTTATTAGTTTTTAATTGTTGCGCTAACTTTTATTTTAAAACAAAGTATATATGTATTTATTAATATTGTAAAAATATTTTTGCTTTAATAGATTCTGCTTAAATGCAAAATAGTTTTTAATTGTAATATTATTATATGTATATTAAGTACTTTAGGAATATATAATCAGTTATATATGTGTTCTTAATTTTGTTGTTGTTATTTTTTAAACATTTTAATATTAAATATAATGGAAAGTATAAGAGATATCACAGCTGCATTTCGAGATTAATTTTTTTTGAAATTAAAAATATTAGTAGGAAACATACAGCGAATAAATTAAATAATTTATTTATAATTATAAAAATATTTTTTTTTAATTCAATTTTATGGCTGGCAGTGTTAATTAATTTTTTTTAGCAATTTGGAATGTATATAAATTTGATTTTACTTTAATTTAAATCATTTTATATAGATTTTAGTCACTTTTTTTTTTTAATTTAAAGCCATAAAATTTTTACACAAAAAATTTCACTTGTATGCATAAAAATTAAAATATAAAATATAAAAAACGACAAAGTTTTTGAACAGACCACGTTTGTTAATTTTAAAAATAATCTAAATATAATGAGAATATAGTGCATTTTAATAGCATTGAATAGCTTAATAATTTATAAGAAATTAGTGACACAATTTAATATTAGTTTGTATATTATTGTTGTTTTTTTCGTGTTATTTGTTGGCAACTCTAAATGGCAGTGGGGGCGGACGTAGGTATATGTCAGTGCCATTTTGACTTTTGAGCGTAGATATCAGCACGCAGATTTTGAGCGAAGCATATTCCGAGTATCTAATAATTATAAAAAAGTATGTAATAATAGCCACGTGAATATAAATAAAGGTAAAAAAATCAAATATTAAAAAAAATACATAAAAAAAATAATAATAATAAAATAATTAAAAAAATAATAATAATAAAATAATTAAAAAAAAAAAAATTAAAAAAAAATAATTAAAAATAAAAATATATTTATAGAAAGAGGGGTAAAGAGCAATAATATATATGTATAAAAATATGGATAGCACAAAAATTACAATAAGTATCCATACATACATTATATATACATTATTATATATTATTTACTTAAAGCTATGACCCAATGTCGTTAGCTTAATCTAGTGATTGTCTACTGTTTTTAACCCTCTAATCTTGTAGAAAGTTTAAAAATGTATCAAGTATGGATAATTATTGTATGTTTTTAAATTATTAATAAAGAATACTACTCTACTACTACTATATACACAAAATTATAATATATGAATTTTAAAAAATGTTAGGTTCAGTTAATCTAATTAACATATAAGTCATATATTATCGTTAACATATAACGATAATTAACATATCGTTAGAGTTATGACTCTCTAACGATATCAAATGGAGTAAAAATTCTATTTCGTCTGCAAAGACCTATTCATGTCGTTGCTATACCAGATAGTTAACTAACAAAACACTTCTTAGGGCAGAACACAAAATTATTAAAGATTATTAATATGTATTTCAAGAAAGCAAGTCAGCATTTTGTCAGTGGTTTGTGCTTAGTCAATACTTAAAAAAGCTAAGAACTGAACCACATAGTTTTTTCTGGATCTTTTGTTTAAATCTTGTTGTTTGCAAAGACAATGGAATAGTACGGATTAAAACAACAACAAAAGTAAGATAGTAAATCATTACATCATTACATATACAGCGGTATTATACCTTTAATAGGATTTAAAGATCAATTCCAAATATGCGTTCTATTTAATAATACTTATTTCTTATATCTTTACTGTCAAGAAATACAGTATATATTAATCAATAAATATGTATCAATCTTTCGACAGATGCAACATAGTTTTTGTTATTACTATCATATCATTCTATCATATACATTTATAAATTAAATAAAATAATAATTTATTAATGAAATCAATAAAATTAAAAAAATAATAAACCAAACCTGCATAAAAACTGAAATAATAGCACTTGTCGATATCAATATTAAATTATGCTCCATCCATTCTTCACCTGCCGTAACACAACCTTTTTCGTATATAATTTTTGATACATCAGCGCTCTAAAACAAAAAAAAAATTTTAAATAAAAATAAATTAACAAAAAGTAATATAACGAAAATAAAAAAAAAAAACCAAAATGCTCACAATAAGAACTTAATAGTTTATTATACAATTTCCTATTAAATAATTAATATATTTTTCACACTGCTTATTACAGCGGTATCTATGTCTCTGATTTCATGTTACCTCGAAACAAAGACTAATAAAGAAATAATTATAATATACCATGGAGCTGTTTTTGATTAGAGTCTATATTTAATTAAAACGGTTCAGAAAATTATTCAGCGATTAAAAAAATATTAGTGCCTGATTTGAGGTTTGACTCCTCATATCATGGGGTTAGTACCAAGCTAAAATGAATTTCTATTTCAGGATATTGGAAGCTATATTGTAAGCACCAAGCGCGGATTGCAAAATCTGAAAAAAATCTTTAAGGAAAATAATTTTTGTAAATACAGAAAAATATATATTTTACGTCACAGTTTTAAATATATTAGCGTTAATTAATTTTTTCTTATTCTTCATAGTGTTGATTTATTTTAATTAAATAAATTTGTTACCAACCTAAGCTATACCTAGATTATAACTTCACTTATAAAATTATTTTTATATAATAAAAGACAAAAGTGTAGAGGAGTTATGGTTAACAGAGAAATATGAATTACCAGAGATTTATAGAGATTTTGTAATATATTATAAAACAAATAATGAATCAATAAACCAAAAGTATTTACTCCTTTTTATTAAAATAAAATTTACTCAACCGAGATTGCTAAGAATCATCTTGGTGAGTGGCTAGGTTTCATTATCTTGAATCTAGTTGACTTTTAAATACCACCCATCACCAATCTATTCTAAACAATCTTATCGTCTCTCACACTACTATCACTTATGCACATCTTATACGTCTTTATAATTTTCCTTTCATGTTAACAACAACAAGAAGCCACAATTGATTTAAATGATATAAATACTGAAATGGATATTATATAAAAGATACAACTAAATTATGCTAATTATATTTACTTTACAGGAATTAAAATAAAAACAATTCGTTTTTCAAACTTAAGTACATAAAACAACACATTAAACAATATACAAAAAGTAATATTAACACAAATTCGACAGAAGACAATGTACATAATTATTTTCAAACCTGCATCAGTAAAACAAATATACAAGTTAGAGCCACACTAATTAAATGAGTTTCTAACCAATCCTCGCCAGCACGTAAACAGCCGCGTTCATATATATGCCGTTCCACGGGCTAAGCATTGTGTTATAAAAAGGTTATTGATAATTAGTAAAACATTAATATTACATAAAAGTTGAATATTAAAACCAACTTATTTTAACTTATTATAAAAAAAACTTACATAGCCTTTCTTGCGTACATCATAGCCACATTGTTTATTTTTAATAAATTCCTGCGCGCGCCGACGACAACATGAAAACGGCACACCACAAGCCTCGCGACTACCAACAGCGCCCGACGAACAATTAAAATAATTATTGCTTTCCCAGTCTGTTGGACCCTCAATGCCACAGCATTGTAACCAATCTTCTTGTATCCAATCGATCAAGTTTTGCTGATCTGGATCTTCACGATAATGAATTATGAATGCACGCAGTCCTTCAGTAGCCTGATCTTTAATCTGCACGTATAGCAAATAAATATTATTTAATGTTATAAATATTAACAAACTAACTTACCCAACCCTTATCTTTCAAAATAAATGCTAAAACACCAAAACTGATTTCTAACAACAGTAATATAGAGAGAAGGATGGCATACTGTGAATAAAATATCGAACATATAATATAATACAATTTTTAATCAATGCTTAACTAAACGCACTCACCGCTGCTAAGAGACAAGTATTTTCACGTAACGCACCTACGCTTCCAGTAAAGCCAATAATAAATGTAATTGTGCCAATGCAAATTAGCACGAACGCTGGATCCAAGGCAATGAAAGTTAATTTAGCTAAATTACTAAACATGTCCTTTTCGTTCCACGCCCAGATGCCTATAGCCAGTACACACAAGCCTATCATCTACAAGAGTCGTTATTCAAGGTTTGTAAATTCTTTGTTGTCATTTTGGCATTGAATTCTAATACTCACCCAAATCGCAACATTGCTGGTAAATAGCATATATTTTAGGCAACAACTTATTTCACTAGTCTCACGTCTGTATTTACGCAGTACAGGCATTTTGTTTACATTTAAATCTTACTTATTTTAATTTAATAATAAATTTTGATGTAGTTACTTTACTTCGTCGGAATTTGCTAATAAACTCTGCTTATGCAGCTAACTGCACATACATACACCCATAAACACAAATTTTGTTCCTACTGCAAATATTTGTGATGTAAAAACCATGTGTAAATTTTTGAAAACTTTACTTTATATATTTAAAAAATTTATATCAAATAAATTTAAGTAAATTTCTAATTCTATAGAATTTGTAAAAATGAAATGTTAAAAACAATTTTTATGTATGTACGTCAAGTGACAGTTGACAGCTCCTACAGACTTAAGAATCGAAAGTAAACATAACACAACAGATACCGAGTACTTAAATTGCAAAGTAACCGAATTGCTCGATAAAATAATTTATTCTAATACAATTTTAATTTAAAAAAATATATGTAAATTGTACGTATAATTTTATGTTATTATGTATAAATAAATTTAATAAATTATTATTGTTTATGTTACTTATATTATTATAAAATGTTAATGCTTTGTTATATCGTAATAAAGTCGCGAGGCTTTATTCTTTTTAGTGATGACTTTACATAGTCAGCAGCGATAAATTATTTAAATTGTTTATTGAAAAGGTTGCAACATGTAGACACATATTTCGATTGATTAATTAATAGAAAACCGAAATAGATACGTATACATAGATACAATAATACAAAACCATATAAAATCAGATCAAAAGCATATTCACACAGCATAAGTAATATTAATTTTGATGCAAATTTTGCTGATTCCGCTTGATCGATCTAAAGCGTCATGTTGTATTACCTTTTTTCGTTATATATAAGCTGTCATTACCACCGGTTATTGTAGGGAGAAGTAATTATATGTAAATTTAGTAATGACCATTTCATTGCATTTCAAACACTACATTTACGCGAGTCTTAGAATCATTTTTAAAACTGATTTTAAAATTAGTTTTTAGAGCGTTCAAGCATAAAAATTATAAACACTTTTAAGGTAGCTGTCAATCAGTCAGCTGTTAAGCGGTAAGCAAAAATACCGATTTTAAACATTTTAAAAATGTATAGAGTAAAACTAAAGATTGTTTTACTTTTATAGGAAAATAAAGATATTGTAACTGAAACAGTAGAATAAAATAATAAAACAATGAAGATTTTAGGAATATCCCGTATAAGATTTACAAAATTACGAGAAATGTGATTTGAGTGGGTTTAAGCAAAAATACATGTATGTTATGTAGTAAGTCTTAATTAAGTTATTGTATAAACTTTTTTTCCTATGTTAAGAATTGAAAAATTAAAAATAATAAGCAATTTTGTTTGTAATACTTTTATGAACTTTGAACTGAATTTTACTTTTAGAAACCAATAAAATCATTCCAATGCTAGTTTTTGAAGTTTTTTCTAATGTTTCGGGCACGTCGTCTGTAACAAATGGTTTATACTAGTTATCATAACATAAGTAAAATATAGCACATTTACGTTTAATATTAGTGGCAATATTATGATTAAGTTGAAATTACAATAAATAATAATTAATATTTAGGAGATGGGGTTATATAATGATATATAAATATTTTACATTCTATGAAATAGTCCTTAAACATTAAAAATGAATCAACTAGAACAACGCCATTACACATTAATAATGAATATATATGAATATATATGAATATATATGAATATATATATGTATAGAAATTTCAAATAAATTGATCCGATACGACTTAATAACTTTATGCAAATGTAACATATTTACGGATCAAACAAGAGGAACGTAATATGATACGTATAAAAATGAAGTAATAAGTTGTTTTTATTTTAATATAATAGAATTGAGTACTTGATTGAACTCCCCATAGTACCTTATCTATTCACCATAGTCACCATCTTTTTTAACGATTTCGGGTTTTTTGCCATAACGATTTCAGGAGTCCTAGCTGTCGGTACATTTTATAGTGATTTGTGAAAACTATATATACTTAATAGTGTTTTTAATATTTCAAAAAAGTGTTCACGTCGTCGATATATATTAGATATCGTGTTAATAAACTTTGTGAAATAGTGTTAGAATCAGGTAAGTAAATAAAACTGTAAATTAATATGTGAAATATCACTTTTTTTTATGGTTTTGTTCATTAATAGTCATGAAACACATCAACACAAATATTGTTAGCATAAATGTATAAAAATATTCATACGTTAGATATATTAATGGAAGCATAGGGCGCAAACAAAATATTTATCTAAGACCTGTAGATATTTGTTTAGGCACTCTAGATCATGACTTGTTGGAGTAAGATTATTGTTGTAGATTGGTTTTTGAAAATGTTTTTCTTTTTTGGCAAATATTATTTGTGACCCAGAACCATAAATATAGAATACGCCTGGCTTGACATTATTGTGGGACATGCAAAAACTGGTGCGCATCGATATGTAACGGGATTTCTATACCGCGCCCCAAAAAGCATTTTGCGCATATAAATGAACGCCAATGCCAATGGCAAATATTTCTAGTAGGATAACGGCATCTATCGAACATACCGTTAAGAATTTATATATATATATATATATATAGATATATATATATATATACATATAAACAAAGTAGCAAAACACGCTTTGTGTTCTTACAATATATTACATACATACATACGAACGAACGAAAAGCTTCGAATAACGGCAAACAACGAAGCAAGAAATTTCGCAAATTTGCCTTTAAAAAAGAGAAAATGAATAAAAAGAAAAAAGTGCGCATCTATTTGTGTACTTCTGGAATACACCGCGACAAATAAATTAACATTAAAATAACTGATTTCATTTCAGCAAATTTTTATATGTAAAAACAATTAGTTTTTTAATATAAATTTTACTATATACTTAAGTACTTGGTAAAGCACATAAATATTTCACATACATATATCCATATATATAAATTAGTTTCCTTTATATGTATGTATTTTACATAATAATATATATATGTATGTGTGTATACACATGTATGTTTATTGCTTGTGCGTATGCGAGTACAAAACAAATCCAACGAAAATAACGGAAAAATTGATTTGCCGATCTATGGCGTATAAGCAGTATTTCAATATAATACCATTGAAGAAGAGACCTTGAAAGTGGGTACACTTCGTATTGATATTTGTTGTGGTTCACAGAAATTCGAAGAAAACTACTTTACCCATTTTTTTATTTAAGCTGTTGTTATACCTTACGCAAAAAGTACTTAGTTTTTTTTATTCTACGGTGTACTTAGTAAATAACAATTAAATGTGTTTCTTAAGCAGTAGCAAAAGAGACGAAACGAAAATAGGAACCAATACGTACGATCGGTAAACGTGACTTAAACCAAATATAAACAAACAATAGGTCAACTTATACATAATATATTAATCCAAAGTTTGGATATTAAAGGAAATGAAATAAAGTGTGTGAAAAAGAGGGAGGCCATCATATTTGCCAGTTAAAGCCAGTAAGTTATAAAAAAGACGTCTCAGCCACTAGTTGTAGTAAGTAGATGGATAGTGACCAGGTTACTTGTTTTATAAAAAAAAGCTGTATGTTAATTGGCATATGCGATGTATATACCTAAAGAGAAAAACGAGACTTGTAAGTCATGCAGTAGACATTCGGTATAATAAAACATACCTTTACTTACTATAAGGTCTATCGTTATTTTGAAAATTGTTTTTTGTTTAGATTTACCATTGTAAAACATAGTTTATTTCTGAAAATATAATTCTTTTGTAATTGTGTAAAATATCTAGGAGGATCTAAATCTGTTTATTTTTTTGAGCTATTGGTCTACTTGCGATATTTTCAGTGTAGTAATTTTAAGTTGAAACACAGTCAAACTTCCATAACTCGAAGTACCACTTTGCACAGAAAAGGTTCGACTTATGGAGACTTCGAGTTAGAGAATTTTTTTTTTATTTTTGAAAGAAACTAAAATCACATTTTGAGTTATTTAATTATTCGGAATCAAATACAGCACAGAAGTATATTTCTCATTTTAAATAATAAATCCAACAAGTACATTATATTTCGTTCTTCAGAAGATTTGTTATGTCAAAATATAGTTCCTTCAAAAGTCTACTGTGTACAATGAAGATTAGAATCAATAGCATAAGTGGGATTTTCGAAATGATGACGTTTAACAGTATAAAGAAATAGTTTAACAGTATGTATAAAGAAATAGTGATAATTGGAGGTTGTTGTAATTAGCCAACGGAAATAATTGGTAATAAACATAGACCGAAAGCCCACATTCTCGGAAGTGAACATTAAACTGCAAGATATAGCGAATGTGTCATAACAATAAGCATTTTTTTCACGTACGCACAGAGTTAGTTACTTTTAATGGGTGGTTAATGGGTTACTTGTATCGGACTAATTTGCACAATCCGCACCTAAAAGTGTATTTCCAAGAATATTTTTTTTTGCTAATTTGTAAGGGCCAACAAAATGGCCCGTTAATATCGCTGTTAAGAGAAGAGAACTTCAGAATTTAAGCTTAAAGAAGATTAGCTCTTAAAGAAGTCAGTGCTATTTAAAAGTTTGAAGTTCTTTTCTGATTCTATACTAAGTAAACTACTATATATATAAAATATATTATTTTTTTTTTATTTAACACAGTTTATACGGAATATAAATTAATAATGGATAACCAGAATTTGTTGTTTGTGGAATATGACTTAAGTGTTAATGTTGTTGCTGTTGCTAATGCTGATGCCAGGGGCGATGGTGGTGATACCGATGCCAATTATGATGTCGCTGCGAATAGTGATCGTGATTCTGATGTCACTGGTGATGGCGACGTCGATGCCAATTTTGACGCTGTTGGTGTTGTCAATGGTGATGATATTGGTGTAGTCAATGGTGATGCCAATGGTGATGATCATGTCAATGGTGATGATCATGTCAATGGTGATGCTAATGTCAGTGGTGATGTGATTACCAGTGGCGATGTTATTGCTATTGGTTATGGTTATGCTAACGGTAATAGTGACGGCGTTGTCAACGTTAATGCTGCTGATGCTGATGCAAAGCGTAGAGGTGGTGACATCTGTCCAGTCTGCTTAAATGCAATTGATATATACTGCGTAGGGGCATGTAATCATCCACTTTGTTTGGATTGTTGGGCTCGATTGATAATAATTCATGAAGACGAATTATGTCCACTTTGCCGTAGACTTATACGTAATCCATTAATTACAGAGGTCAAAGCTACGTATAAAATTCCACTTAAACAACATGAAAAAATTACATCCGATTATAATCAAATTATTAATTCTTCAAGTGCAAAGATAATAAATGCATTCAATAATCTTGTGCAACATCAATGTCCAAAGTGTCCTTCGCGTGTATTTAAAATGTTGGAAAGATTACAGCAACATATGGCCACCAAGCACAAATTATATTATTGTGATGTGTGTATAAGCAAATTAGATATGTTCACGCGTGACCGCATTTATTACACCTCAAATCAATTAAAATATCATGTTGAAAAAGGTGATCGAGGAGGTCTAACACGAAATTATCATCCACTTTGTGACTTTTGCCATATAAGGTTGTTTAACCTTAAAGAATATGTTGATCATTTTATTTTAAAACATTATTATTGTCCTTTGTGCCGTGCTCAGCAAGCTCTTTTTCTATTTGGAAGCTATCATAAATTACTTAAACATCTCGACGAATATCACTTTCCGTGTTTGGTTAAAAAATGCAATAAATTATTTGATGACTCCATTGAATTTTTAACTCATTTGGAAAAAGAACATTTAATTGACCCACATTATATATATCCAAAAATTAATCGTACAGCTGTTATAGATATAGAAATTAAGCCAATTAGTAAACAGCAGGGGGTAGAGGTATTTCTATCGGAAAATATAATTCTGCAATACTGGGCAAAACCATTAATTGGATATGATATAAGTTATGATTACTCGTCTCCACCACCAAAACCACGTGTAATATTTGATTTTCATAATAAACTGCAATTCCCTCCACTTGGATGTAAACCACGTAATATCAAAAAATTATATAAACAATTGTTGGTACCAGCTCCTTCCACATCCTCAATTCTGACAACTAATGCTGGAGGTGTAAATACTTCAATACTTTCTAAACCAACCTATGCAGAGGTTGCTGCCTCTTTCGGCTCTAAGTTTTAGAGTAGCTGACAGATTTCAATATTTTACCATTAACCCAATGTAAGTAATCAAAGTCGATATAGTTAAACTTTGTCATTCTATATAAATATTTAAATCATTACATAAACTAATTTATGTCTTTATTTAGAGTAACAAACAAATTCATACATCATAGCAGTTCCAGTTCCTGTATAAAATATAAACAGCAAATGTCAAACCAAGGATATCATAAACTATGCTTTTACGATCTGATTTTCTTTCTTAATTTTAGCAGTGATTTCAAACCATTGCGATAAATAATTAATTAATCTAATGCTTAATAATTTATATCTTATAATTATTTAGTATTTATAGTTATTAATTAAGTTTAATGAGTACCTTTTTTATAATACATACATATATATGTATAGTTCTTTACACATGATATTGGTGGTCTGTCATATGAAAGAGTTTTTATTACAAATAATAATTATAAGTATAGTTAAAAAATAGATGGATAATTTGAAAGTTTTATTAAAATTATGAAGAGAGTGTCATAGTTTAAATAAAATTATACTAAATCCATTCCAAACTGTTGGAATTAAAATATTATAATTAGATAACTATAGAGTTTTGTTTTTTTCGAGAGCTATTGCTTAGTAACTGAACTAGCTCTTTTAAATTAAACGTTTTTTCCTAACTATGTTAGTGACATCCCTGACATCATCACTCATTTTACTTGCATTTTTACTGAGTGGTTACACTAAGTGATTATATGTTATTATTGGAAAGTCATTCCAGCTCAAATTGCTGAGATCACAGAAAATACTCATAGCAATAGAAATAATTGAATTTCATTTCATTTTCAATATATTTGAAATAAAATTGTTTCAATATTATTTAATTTTAATTTATTTAATAATATACGTATTAATAAATCATTCGCAGTTTGATTGGTTTGTATAAGCACTGGATATTAAAGTCCACCGATTTTTTTTTAACTTGTTGCCATTATCTGATAGTTGGTAGAATTAATATAATTTTTAATGACAATAAGCGAAATATTATAATATTATTTTTTTGAATCCTAAACAATTTCAGTAGTACTCAGAAGAAATAAGCTATTTATTAAATTGCTCTATGCAATATATTTTAAAAAGATAATTGCATAATTACAGTTTCAAGAACCTCTGGAAATGACTAAAAAAATATTTTAATTCAATTCATATTTTGTTACAGTAAATAAACTATAATAAAAGTTAATTTGATTGGAAATGAAAACATATTTTTAAAATATATTTATCAAAATATAATATATTATTATATATAAATATATTATCAAAAAATATTTTTATTAAAAAGTTTAATATTATTAAATATTAAGTACGAAAAATATTAATAAATAAAATATTTATAATAAATATTTAATAGAAGTTGTATTAATATTAATTTTAAATAATTAAAAATAAAATTTTAAATTTAGTAACTAAAATAAAATAATATTAGACTTAAAAGTAAAACATTTCTCACTAATGTTACTTATATATATATATATATATATATATATATATATATTATATGCAAATACTTATAATTTATATTTTATATGTTATGATAATGATATATTATTAATAATAATTAATTTTATATGAATAACTAAAAACATCAGTAATAATAAAAAATATTATTAAAAGTTTAAAATATAATAAATAATATAAAATATTATTAATAAATTGTTATAACAAAAAATTTTCAATAAGTTTTGGTGATTATTACTGGGCTTAGGTCGTTTATAAAACACATAAAATTATAAAAGTGATTTTTTTTTACGAAAGTTAATTTATAATTAAATATTTAACATAAATTAAAAAGTTTAATTTTTTAATTAAAAACAAAAATTAATAATTTTATGCGTTAAATAAATGACCTAAGCTTAGTAATAATCTAAAACTTATAAAATATTATTAATATTGATTAATAAAATTATTACAAAAAACAAATTAAAACAGTTAAATAAAAATAATTAACAGAAATTAAATAAATGTTAATTTTTAACTTACATATGTCATTATATATTAATACTTTTAGTTTGTTAAAAAAAATTATTTGTAACTTATAAAATATTTTAAATGAGTTATATTTCTAATTTTGACTATATATTTAAGTTTTATATAAAATCTATTAACATTATAATTTTTATATTTTCATTCATACGTTTTAAAAGATTGGACAAAAAAATACTACATTTTTTTTCATAATTATCTAAGAATTTAATTTTTGATACAGAGTATTTTATTCTTCTTAATTTAGCAATTTTACGACCGTTGTTCTTCATATGGAATTTTGCCTATAGAGAAACTATAACCTTACGGTCAAGAGAATTAAATACTAGATACTCGAAAGAAACTATATAATACTAGATAGTTCTAGAAATTATAGAACATATATTACTTTGATTATTATATCATATTATACTTTTGATTAAATTGAACATATTGTGAATTAATATAATATTTATATATATTAAATATTTATTTAATTTATTATTTATTATATATATTTAGTATTTATTATTATAAAATATTTATTTATATATAAAATATTTATTTATATATAAATATTTATAATATATAATATATTTGTTAAATAAATACCTGCAAATTAAATTAAAATGTAAGAAAAGCAAAATATTTTTTAAAAAGATTAATATTTAAATTTCAACAATATTCTTTTATTAATTTATACTATAAGACTATACGTATAATACGTATAATATATAATAAATACTACCACAACAAATATTTGTAACAATATTATTTATAGGGTATTGTGTCACGTAGTTCCTTTATAATAATCGGAAGATAAAGAATTTGTTTATTATTATTTTTCGTTTGTTCCTAATTTTTTAAATTTAAATAAAATAAAAAAAAGTGTATGTATAAAAATTGTATTTATTTTTTTATTTAAATGCAAACAGATACACATATCATTAGGTATTAAAAGTTAAAACAGATTTGTTCGTTTTGCGATATATAAAAATACGTAATTTGTATAAACCAAATAGCAATAAACAAAAGACGCAAACCAATAATATACAACCGAAGACGGTAGCCAACGCCCAACCCGGTTGTGACCAGTCCAAAATCTCGTATATGTATTGATTACCACCACTATAATACATTATGGAATATAGAAAATTATTTGGTTATAATAATTAAATATTTCAAGAAGTAACTTACGGATCAAGACCACCTGCAAAATAGTAAATAACGGAAAAGAGTCCATACAAAACTCCAGCGATGAATGGGTATATAAAATGTAATATTCTAGTTGGAAATGCTACCAACATATGATCCATAAGCATTAAAACTGAATTAAAGGCATGCGCCCATAAATTGTAGAGAGCAGTGGGACTGGCATTATCATCTAAAAGAAAAATAATTATTATTTTCTTTTTATATATAATGCTATAATATTAGAGAAGACAGAAGTTATTTTATTATAAACCTAAATTAAAATTTAAGACGATATTTGATTGAGAATGTAATTTTTTTAAGAATATTTATTTGAAGAAAGAGAAAGATGAATATATAATAGTTTAATTGTTTTTTGGGGTTTATAGTCTGTTCAAAATTTAATATTAAATATAGAAGAATTAGAATATTTGAACGAATATAGAGTTCGCAAAGTTCGCATAGTTGTGTTATATATATAGTTATATACAGAATATTATCATAAGAAAAATGCATGGTAAGGGGGAACGATATATATAACATATATGTGTCGAATAAACAAAATATTGGAAGTGTTCAGTTGTCTTTAAATATGAATGTTTGATAAAATTATGTTGACCAATATATGGCAATGGTGCTATTAAGTATACAGATAGTGGTGCTGTTGCATGGATAGATGATATGATTTAGATGAAATGAAGAAATGTATGGTAACACTGGTATAATGAAGGCACTATTATAAAAGAACGTGTAAAAATAAGATCACATCAGAGTATTTATAAATTATGATAATACTCTGACATAAACCACATAGTTGAGGAAGACTTAAGGAGCTGAATGAGCCGTTGCGACTGAATTGAAAATCTATAAATATATAGTATAGTCGATTCACCATTTAAATGTTTAAATGAATTTAAATGTTTACAAAAGTACACTTCTTACATATATGAATCGTATGTGTGCATAGGTAGAGAAGCCTTATGTGTCCTAGGAGTTTATTTGCAACCGAACCCCAATTTCTTAGTTTTCTGGGTAAGTGCTGTTTATAGATAGTATACAATTGCTTCGTTAAGTGTAGAGTATATACAATATATAAAATGTAATAATATTGAATGTATTGTGAATGTTTAAAACAATATTTAAAGGAAATGAAGTATATAGAAAAAAAAAACTATGTTACAAGGCTTTATAAGGTGGTTAGAATAAAATCTTAAACAATAAGGAAGCATCTGGAGAGTATAATAAGATTTTATAGTTTATTGGTTATATCAAGAATATATATATAAAATTATTATATTATATTATATAATATTATAAATTACAGTCAAACTTCCATAACTCGAAGTAGCATTTTGCAAAGAAAAGGTTCGACTTATGGATACTTCGAGTTAGAGAATTTTTTTTTTATTTTAATTTTGAAAGAAACTTAAATCACATTTTGAGTTATTTATTTATTTGGAATCAAATACAGCACAGAAGTTATAGTCAAGTAAAATATTCAGAAATTGGGGTTTGAGATTTTAATTTTTTTTTTATTTTCAGTAAAAAAGAAATTCCAATTAATTTATAGTGATCATCAGTTATTGTATTTTTCGTTTGTAAATAAAAACTCAGAATGAGAATTTTGAATGAGTTTTCTACTTCATTTTTGGAAGGTTGATGAACAATTTTATTTATCAAACCCTCATCAGCACTTTTCGTAGCGCTTAGAATCAGATCCACTAATTCAGAGCTATATGTAAAGCTCAATAATATCGTCATCTGTAGGAAAGCTTGATAGGCAAATTTCATTATTAAGCTAAATATATTCTTTAAGAGTAGCATTGGAAGTTATTTTATTTACTTTATTTTTACATCAAATCACGGTCTTCATCAATGTTATTGAAGAAAATTAAAGGAATCCTGTTCGAGTCCTGTTTGTCCCAAGTAGAAAATCCAGCTTTTTAAGCAACCTATAAGTGTAATATTTTACTTTTTGTTTGGTTCCAAATGCTTTAGCGCTTCCTTTGTGATTCTGTTGAGATATACCATATATATGTAATATATGTATTCGAGTTATAGAGAAATTCAAGTTATAGAAGTTGGAGTTATGGAAGCAGAATTGTATATAATTTGCTCTCTAAAACTCTGTTGTATTCTTTTTAGTTCGAGTTATGGAGGTTCGAGTTATGGATGCTTGACTATATTATATACAATTGTTTTATGAAGTTTGTAATATATAGTTTTAAGAAAAAAAAGTGTTATTATTGGGTGGTGTGGATTATATAGGGCATACGACTCTAAATATAAAAAAGTAAGTTACGTTAGTACAATAATGTTTTGGCGATAATGATTTTTATTCTGTATATATTTCTATATAAAGATATGAGAGAAGATATGATATTATTACGCCCTATAAAGTATAGTCTATTATTTATTCACTATAAAATGTATACATTATAAAATGTAATTAGATAAGTGTGTATAAAAAATCGAACCCTAAAAAAAGACGAAGTTATATAAGTACAATTTTTTATTTGCATTAAAGTTTTTATAAAACATAGTTCTGATTAAATAAGTGAAAGTAATAGTACAATAATATTTTATAAATTATAGTATAAATCAAATTCTATTGAAAGTTGTAGTTGTACTAAGAAAACAATGTTCTTTTACTATCAGAAGTGTTTAAAATTTGTTTGTGTATTTATTTTTTTTCTATTATATTGATTATTATATACTATATAATTATTAATTATATAATATTATTAATTATATATACAATTGAATATTTATAAGAAAATATAATAGCAAAAAGTGAAATTAAAAAAAATTCTAAATTTAAAAAAGCTTGTGAATTTAATTTTTTGTGAATTTAATTTTTTAACTTTTTCCATTTTATTAATGCAAAATATTATTTTAAATAAGCTTTACTATAGAAACTTTTTGAAAATAATAGGAGTTATCTATAGAATATTGTTGAAGATCATCTATACTGTTCTTGCACTTGTACTTTGCACACCTATTCTCTTCAATATATATTATATTTTTCCTTGATGTGTTATCAAAATTTCGTAAAAGAACAAGACGTCAAGAAAATTAAGAATACTACTATATCGTGAAGTAGAAGGTGTAGAAGGGGGCTGAGTATTTGAAATATTTTGAATGTCATTATTTGTTTTTTTTATGAATCGCTAAATTTTTGAAATTTTTATGAAATATTCTAATCAAGGTAACACGTTTCGAATCTATAAAACATATTCGCACAGTTGCTTATCTTTCACAAAAAAAAGTGAATTAATAAAATCCACTTAATTTTTTAATTTTTTTTTTATAATTTCACCTTTAGTGATATATATAGAAACATTACTGCCATTAAAATTATTTTAGACTTTAAAACAAGATTAAAATCATTATCTGTTCGATAGAACAGAACACAAATGATTAAATTATAAGTTTAATGCTTTTTTTTCATATTCTTTTAATTAATATTAAATCAGTCTGACCTATATTAAACTAATTTGCTATTTTAAAACCATTTGTTCTAATAGATTTTTTATACTTTTTGATTAATTTATTTAGAATTCCCACCGTATAATTAAGATTTAAAATTAATATTAAAATTATTCTGATTCAATATTAAACTGTTGCAAATTTTATAACATATATATATTTATATATTTTATATCTATTTCATATCATATATCAAAGTAACACAAACTAGAGACATTGAAGATTACATGGTTCCAAAACACAAATCTAATATGAAATACGTTACGATTAAATCAGACAGAATGGGGTAAGAAGAGAACACAATCAATATCACCTTAGGGTTCAGGTTTGGGAAACAAAAATGCAGACAACCGAATCTAGTATAGGAATCTAGTATATATATAGGAGCAATGGCTTCCAAGTATTCCAAACGTAAACCTATACTTTTAATCTGCGGTTAACATCTACTATAGGTAAAGTTAAGATACGAAAGCATAACCTTTATGTCAGATAGTCAGACAGCTATTGAAACTTAAGACTCCACCTTAATAATTTCTTTAATAATTTGAGAGTTTGGCAATGTTTTAATAAATCTTGTTACTAGAAATCAAGTAATTTTATATTGAATATTTACACACAATGCTTTTAGTGATAGTTAAGTAACAGACGAATTCAGTAACGATGCTGCCTCATGCAACCACTTGGTACGAAGCTCATTCTGGGTGTCAGCAAAGATCTTTTCAAAAGCCTAGCTGAATTGAATTGGACATAGCAGTAAAGCCAATCCCTTTTTACCGATATAGACTGAAAAGAAAGTAGAATAGAAGATATTTCTAAATCAGAATATATCGGATTTCGACATAATAATTGAAGTTGTAATTACTCACTGCATTCAAAAGAAGAATAATGTGCTATTAAAACTTACGGAAACCAACGAATACATACCTTGTATGGAAGTCACAAAAACATTCCTACATATTTCTGAAGAAGCCCAGCTCTTATACATTGTATCAAAAAATTTATACAAATCGTTTTACAAATCTGAGTGGTCAAAAATCAACATAACATATGTTAAAACTTTTTCTGAAATTAGTTGAAGTAGAGAAAATGCTTCTTTGGCTTTAAAAAGAGTAAAACATAACAGTCCAGCAATTACAACATAATACTACAAATACGATATTATAATATATAAAATGGTTTTTTCTGAATCACATATAATTTCTATTGAATCACATATATATATATATCTATTTACAATTGTAATTTTAAAAGTGTTAAAATAAAGCGAATTTGTGCTAGTTTATAGCAATTAAAATATTGTAGGAAAATAAACCATCATTATATTTCAGTTGTGTCGAGGTAGTAGGAACTTGGAGGTTAAGTTTCTAATACTGGAGGTCACTATTAACGAAATAATTGGAAGTTATGTAGTAAATGTTATATCATAGACAAAATTGACCATAAATGATGAGGTTTTTAAATGAACATTTATTGCTATAGAATGTTTATGGTACAATTACTGAACATTTATGAAAAAAAGAGACAAAAATCAGTCTACTGATTATTTTATTATTTATTTATTTATTTATAAGCAAATAGCTAAAAATAATATTTATGAAAGGACTGCTCAAAAACAAATAGCAGACTTAAGGAGGAACTTTATTATTCCGACTTTTATATTCTATATACTATATGAAGACGGTTATATTTTTCAATGGGTTAATTTACTATTTAGAATTGACTAATACATTTTATTTTTTTTTTATTACTTACTTGGATATATGAAAAGCCAGTAAACAAAAGTAATCATTGTAGCGAGTACTAAAGTTGACCAATGTGATGCCCAATAAAACTTTAATATAAAGCTACCGGTCTCTACAAAATAAATATAGTTGTTAATTAAATAATATCTTATATGTCAAAAAAATTATGTTATATACCAAACTTTTGGGGATTGCAGTGATAGACTGAAACCAGTATAGCGCCAAAAAGACTTGTGTACATACATAAAAAGAAACCCCAATCGGTGAGATATATAAACCATTTGCCCTCATTGAAGTGTTGCACTAAACTGCCAAGAACACCTAAAAAGAAGCATATAGCCAACAGCCAACGATATATGAGCCACCACCAACATCGCGTGCCCTTTTGCCACTGTCGAATATTGAAACCAAAATGGTAGTAAAGAAGTGGAAGTTAGTGGGCTCCTCCACTGAACAGGTACAAATAATGCTCAAACTTACTTGTGACTTAAAGAAATCATCTACGGGTGCATGTTCCAAACTGAATTTATCTAACTGAAATTCTTTAGTGATCGGATGCCAAAATGTGTAGCAGCAACCTCTCTCTACGACCATCTACACAACATGTTTCAGCCAATTTACAACGGAAATAAAATTTTTGTTTTAAATTTTAAAATTAAATAAATTTATTAATTTATTGAAGCAACCTTTTAGCTACAACCAGACCCGCTGTCAGCCAAATTAGTAGTGCGTGTAAGTGCAAAAATGTGTTTTGAGTGCTCTTATCAATGATTTTATTACAGCAAATTTTAGCATTAATCCTCAGTATCTAAAATTTGTCGGCATTTTAAATTATTGGCATGGTTTGGGTCTCCAATTGCCGAATATATACCATATGACAACATATGACAAATTAATCCATTTCATTTTCGATTAATTTACTTGATTTACACTATATGGAACAAATATGGTAACTGCAAAACTCGTATTTGCAAACTTCTTCATAAAATTTATTTTTGACTGGTAATTTCATAAAAATAATATTATCCGAAATTACTAAACGATACTTTCCAATACTGAACAACAAGTTACAGAGTTACAGAGTCTGGATAGCTCTATTACTATCTTTCTCTATATATTAGATCTTCATATTTTCCGCATGTTGGATTATATTTTTCTCTTTATTGTGTTATAACCCAAATATAATCCAACCAATCACATTTTAGCATATAGAAACTTATAAAGACGTTCTTTTTTATATTATTTTAATTAATTGAATTTTTGGCTGACCATACAGCTGTTTCGAGTGGTCTTGGAAATAATTCTTCTATTTAATTATTCGTAAATAATTTTTTGAGACTGCAAATTACCAGGAATCGAATTCGTGCTCTGCCAAATATGAAGCTCAGAGTCAGCGCTCCTTAACCAACTGATCTGTTCCAAAAGAAATAATTATTCATTTATATAAATATTATTTGATAAAAATTAATAATATAATTATGAAGTTAACTTAAACATTTACTTGAAGTATGAAAAATTAAGCAATATTATAGCTTAAACCCATTAGTGTTTATTTGTTTAATTGATGGAATAATACATGGTGTCCAAAGTTTTGTAAGGGGATATTATTTTGGATCTAAATTTAAAATAATTTTCGACGGTTAAAACTTTCTGCTTACCTTCTGATCAAAAGAGAATGAGAGGCCTATTTTTCAATTATCGCGCTTATCCAATCGGTAAATTTTTTTATTTTCGGACTGGCAACACTATTATACACATTCTGTCAAAGTTAAACGCATATCGTACGATTAGTTTTTGTTTGGCCTCTATATAAAAAGTCGAAAAATTTTCGTGTGGCGATTAAGGGCATCCACTAGAAATTTTATATAAACAGTTAAGATTTATCTTTTTAGACATGCAAATCTATTAAACTGATTACTGATACCCGATAAAGTTCATTTCAAATATTTTCCAACAATTTAGTCTAATACCTATTTAGTCTAGAAATGTTTTATAGAAAAACTTAAATATTTGATTTTATTTCCTTACAGTATCTGCCTTTATCCTGATCTAACAACAAGGAAAACTTTTTTCAATTTGTCTAAATAAAATACAATAATTTGTCCAACTCTTTAGACAGTCATCTCTATTGTCGATTAGTTATTCACTGCTGTTAAATTTCTTTCTTCCCAACTCCAAATCTACATTAATTTGATTTAATGACTTTTCAATTCATCCGAATAAAATTATTTTTTTAATCTTTCCAAACAATCATCTTATTTGTCATCTTATTTTATTCGTTCTTTCCAATCACAGAGCTTCATAAATATAATTTATTTATACATTTTTTATATGTAAAATTAAAATAAAGTAAAGTTTAAGACCCATTGATAGATCTGACAGAGCATTGTTTATATTAATTTTTGTTTGACACTTTTAAAGTTATTGATAACAAGATCTCTAAGACTTCTATACACATATTCTAGTTAAAATACATTATTAAAACAATGTATTAGACTCTTAGGATTTCGAAGACGTTCCCGAAGACTTTGTGACTTTCTTTAATACCGATAAATAATTTCTTATAGAAATCTTTCCTAACTAGTAGCATAATACGAACTTTAAAGAATTTCTGAAAAATAATATCCAACATACAATATTCTTTTCTATCTAGCATTATAAGATCAATAAAGATTGTAGCGATCCGAACATATTCAAAACACACTTTCATTATTGTTATTGGTTTGTTTACAGTTGTTCGTCTAATGTACGTTTATTTCCACAGTAATTGTTGTTTTAAAAACCATTTGTTAACGATAGCTTATAATATCTTTATCAGACCTTTATCTACTCTGATATGATACCCGTATGATTAAACGTAATATAGGTGATTAAAATATATTAAATGTAGTGTTTTTGAAGCTCAAAACATCTGATTGCGTGCTTCAGCACCTGCCATTTAGAGGCAATCAAACTGTCAAGATAAATTAGACTTAGTAGACTGTCATATTTAGAAGTACATATCAGATTTATTAATCACTTTAGAGTGGGAGTTTAATATTAATGTGCCTTATCAAATCTTTTAATTAGTCTTGGATTGTGTGCATATAAATATATTTTGGTTTAATATTAAGTCTTCGGATGGGTAAAAATATTTATTGGTACGTGATTTTGCTAAGCGGCAATTGATATTTTAGTTGATAATGTTTACGTATCACAACAATCATTAAGTCTCCGGTCTAACAACACTATAGGACAATACTGTTGGTAGACTCATTAACCATGTGGAGAGTAACATTTTTCAAATGTACAGGTTTTGTAATTAATACTCGTAAAAATAAAGGATAAAAGAATGCTGTGATGTTGATTAAGCTATGTTTTTAGATGGAAAAAAATATTGTTGAACCTAAATAGTGGATTGATAAGTGTTATGGAAACAAGTTTTTTTCATCTAAGTTTGTGTGCTGAATTTAAGCGCAGTCGTATAAATATCAATACAGCTAAAAGGGCTGTTTGCTCAAAGTTGGCAGTTGTTCTGGAGAGAAAAGCCCATAAAGTAGTTTAATCTAGAAGTGAAGTAAAATGTGATAGTTGAAACTTTCGAGATATTGCGTTTATAAGTTATATGAAAATTCGAGCATGGATAAGTTGCTTTCGATGCGGGTTCCATGTTGTAAAATTTACTTTGCTCAAGTTGGCAGTTTTTCTGGAAAGAAAATCCCATAAAGTAGTTTAATCTGGAAGTGAAGTAAAATGTGAAAGCTAAAACTTTCGAGATATTGTGTTAATGAGTTCATATGAAAATTTGAGCATGGATAAGTTGTTTTCGAAGTGGGTGCTATGTTGTGCATCCACGGTTCGTTGTGCTAAGATAAAAATGATTTTTTGCGTCACAATATGACAATGGTGGAATATGGATCTACTACTAAACACCCGACTCAAATAAATTGTCTGTGAAAGTCGTTTTAGATATCAAAATCAATATCATATTGATTAATATCATAAAATGATCAATATTTTAGAAGTCAGTTAGTTGGCAATGTTATGGCATCCGCATTTTGGTACGCGACTGGTGCTTTGTTAATAGACTATTTTTAGAAAGATAAAAGGATTAGTTTTGAATGTGAGTACGATTAATGGATAATGAAAACATGGCTTCAAAAGTAAAATAAAAAAGTGTTGTTTTACTAAGACAAAGTAAGTTGTTGAAAATTATGATTAAGTTGAATAAATTATATTTCAATTTGCTTCTTTCATCCACCATACTTTCAGATCTGACCCTCAGCGATTAATGAATTTTTTACAGATAAATTTAAAAGGTTATTGCTAAAAGTGAGACCTATTGTGAGAGCAAAGATAAATCATTTCAAAAAAATGCAACAAAAGTTTCAAGTATGGTTGGAATCACTTTTGAAGGAAAGCATTATACGTTCTCGAATTAATTCCAAGAATAAAGAAAACTGTTTTTTGTTGTAGAATTTCTGAAAAAATTTGATTTTTCGAACTAGGTTGGAGACATACTAAATCATGTGGTATGTGTTATAAACTTGTAGCCGATTATTTAATTATTTATAGATAAATATATCTGTAAAAGTGGTGAGATGGTATAAAAATTGATGAACAATAAATGAACTAGACATGAGTACTAGAATCAAATTAAGTTTTAATTTGAAAAAAAGTTGTTCAGTTTCATTAAATTATTATATATTCAAATGAAGTTCATTCTCTTCAAACAAAAAACAGTTTTCTTTATTTTTAGAATCAATGTTCTTCTTGTCGATAAAGTCGATATTTATTTAAAATTTTGTTTCAGATTTTAACCCGGCGGTACGCTTCAAAGCTGTCAAAATTTCCCATGGAATATAAATTGTCTTAATAATGGAACGCAGTTTTGTATAATTTTGCAGAAATCACAAATTTTGCATTCTTCTTTGAAACTGCAACAGAGTCACATTTGCATAGATTTGTTGTCATATTTTTGTGAAATCAGACCACCACAATGATCTCTTGATAAATGTACTAAAATGAAAATATGAAGAAAGCAATAGACATTGATGTCGAATGGATATTAAGAAAACGTTCATTTCAAATTGAAGTGAAACTAGAAATTTAGTTAAAAACACAGACTTTTAGAAATTAAGGTTTACCCCGACTTTTGATCATCTATAACACTAACGTATATTAAACATCAAACTCAGGAATCATACCAGCAGTATTAGAACTAAATTGGAAATTTTCTATAAAGACAATAACTTTTATTATTCTTTTTATAAACAATCTACAAATTTTCCTACCAATTGATCTTCTCTAAATGGCTCTCGTGTGACTTCGCTTCCCTCTTCCTTGCAGGTTTTATTCAAAGGCTATGTGCGTATTTCAGTCTACAGACTAGCGAAGAAGAAGATACAACCCGTCATACTTTAGCTTGCTTTTTTAATATCAAACTACAATATTGTTTAATAACCATTGTTAAAAAAGAAAAAAGGTTCTCGACATCCTGTTGCATCAGTCATGAATTAGAAGAAAACTACTGAACTTGCATTGTCAAGAAACGATGATATGATGACGTTGTCTAGACCTATAATAAACCGAGATATAAGTTGATAACAAAAGCTTACTATACTTAACATTTAAAGTCAAAAATAAAACATCTTCAATAAAATTGTATAGGTTTCAAAAAGTGGTTTGGAAAAGTTCTTTCCAAACGGTTTTACTATGTTTGATCAACTCGAGTATAAA